CATTGTTAACAATTTGATGACCACCGTGACTCTATTACGACTCACGAATTCGATTGCGGATGGGACGAGATTTTTTTGGGTTCACTAAAAGTGAACAACATGCACATTGCTGATAATAACGTACTTCTAACGCAAATAAATGTTGTATTTTATTTCAAATAAAAAATATATTTGTAAATATAAAATATAAATAAAACTGGAAGGCTGTTCGTTGGAAAACATCATTGAGAAGGTGACAGGACAGACACATTTGGGGTCAGCTATTATATATTCTTCTACATAAATAAACATGAATGAGCGTATGTTTGTCCTCTATGTGTGCCTAAACCATTGATCCGATTGTAATGAAACTCTGGTTGGTTACTCTATATACGCCTGCGAAGGTCCCCGGTGTAAAAAAAAAGCTTTTAACATTGACATCTCTTAAGTATTCCTAAACAATTCAAGCTTAAGGACGCACCCGAACGAAGCAAGTGTAAGCCGCTAGTATTTAATAAAAAGTATGAAATAATTAAAAAATATGTAAATAAAATTTGAAAACTAAAAAAAACGAAAAATTTACATTATCGTGTGTAGTAGAAGTGCAGTAGGTATGCCAAACCAATGTAGGCAACTCTTTGATGCTGACCCGTGCATTCAGCGAGGCAAGAAAAGTTTCTATTACAGCTAGTTTATAAATAAAAAGTTATGCCATCCTCGTAATATAGTCTATTAATGTGTATATAAAATAAATTCACTTCCCGTTAAACTTCTAACGTAGTGGAAGCATCCTACAACTCGACATTTCTTTTGAAGTTTTAATTTTTTATATCTGAGAGAGCAAGTTTTACAAATTGGAACAAAATTGTGCATCAAAACTTTAACCTATATTATATAATTACAATAAGACGCGGTTGGAGATTTTCTTCACCAACTTATATTACCAAAAATATTTGAGAGAAATGATTTCACCACTTTCTAATTATCCGTGTTTTCGTAATATCCCCAAGGTTTTCGCGAAAATTCGAATTATCAAATCATCCTACGATATATTTATATATGCGGTCCTTATAAGAAAAACACCATTGTTGATATTTTTGTCTGTCAGTTTGTTCATGTTAATCTCCAAAACGGCTAAGCTGATTTTGACGGGACTTTCACTGGTAGATAGCTGATGTAATAAGGAGTAACTTAGGCTACTTTTATTTTAGAAAAAGAATTAGGATTCCTCACAAAATTATTAAAACGTAGCTAGGGATGTACCCGAGCGAAGCAAGGGTAAGTCACTAGTATTGAATATAATTAATCTAATATAAATAATTAAATACTCGGTAATCAATTTTACGACACTTGGCCACAGATGACATAGACTACAGACTAACCAGCAGATAGAGTTTATTGTTAAAACTGTAGGTACAATACAAGTACAACATAAAGTACAATCCAAACACAATTTTCTTAAAACAAAGCGAAATCAAACAGCATTTCTTATATATTGCACAAGTAAGTAAAGATTCAGCAGTGCACGTTCCTTGGAAGGAATTTACAATTTTTAACACGAGCGACGTTCAAAGTTTGATGAGTTCGACACAGGGCATATAAGCGTCGACTTGCACAATACTTGTTTCTTCTTTGAAACTAGCTCTTACAGTTTGGCGCTATTATATTCCTTCATACTTTTACTTAGGTACACTTACTATGTTTTGTTTAAACTTAGTTGGATATAGAAGTAGCCATCCTTATAAACAAATCTTTATTAATTTCATAAAATTTCATAAAATGTACCATAAATTAATTTATACGTGCGTGTTTGCGTGTGCGTGTTTGTATACTATAAGGGTAGAATATAATATGATAATTTTAAGTAATGCTGGCACAACGGAACAAATTAATTATCTAAATGTTTTTTAATTGGATAATAATCATTAACTTCCATTTAAGTATGAACTATTTCTAGCTAAAAAATTAATGTTTCATATTTCAATAGGTAATATTATAAATTATGTATTACAGATTTTATATTCTACTTATAATTAAATATAATCAAAAATAACAAGTAATTTATTAATATAATAATACTGTTATATCTAAATGCAGAATTCAATTTACTTTAAAATCAAATTTGAAAAATAAATCTACTTTATTTAAAGTGGCTCAACACAAAACCGTGGCGGTCAATACCGTTGTATTTGCTTTATTTATCTGGTACGACCACGTCCGGAAGTGCCGCCATGTTGACATGTCCGAGACGTGCTATTGGCAACACTCCGACGAATTGAGGCGGAAAATGAAAATAGTTTTGACAGAGTATGAGAGTTCGAGTTTAACTCGGTTTTCGCATACCGATATGTGAAATCTAAAATATTTTGATATAAAGTTTAAATCTCATGTTATTCGAAATGTATATTTAATTTATTTCTTCCTTAAAACAATAATTAATAAAATAATTACGAGTGTTTTACTATAGGTATCTGGTATATAATGCTAGGTATTTTTTTTACCAAATTATAGAAATACCTAATTATTGAAGTCACTGTTTAAATAAAAACTAGCTACCGGGTTGTTGTGCGTTTATACGTTTATTTTGACCATATAAGCTGTCTCGTCTTTTTCTGTGGATACTGTAATGCGCAGAATGAACGTTCAATCCGCGTGCTATCGCTGGAACAGTTGACGAATCTTGATCGCTACACATACCGCTGATTGGGAAAATGAATTCCGTTAGTTGAGCAATGAAATCCGCGTAATCAATGAGTTTTAGTTAAGGCAATCTAATTAAGAAGAAATTTTCTGAATTATAGTGAACTAGCATTGCCCGCGGCTCCGCCCGCGTTCAGATGACCAAAAACTAAATTCTTAGGTGTTACATATTAGTATACTCTTACAGTTTTTGTATTTTTCCTCAGAAATAAGATATTTTCCCGCGGTAAAAAGTATCCTAGGATCGCGCGCTACATCGCCCGGTTTATATAGCTTGAGCAGGCGGTCGAGCGATGCGGGGCAGAGGGGATGGACTCGCCGTAGGCATCTCAATGCTCGCCAAGCATTAAAAATGTTTCGCTACTAATTACTTCTAACAACGATATCTCAAAAACTATTCATCTGATTGATTTAGTGTAAAGAGCAATTTTAATCTGCATTAAATGACTAAGCTAACTAAAATATTCATTTGGATAAGGATTAATACCGAACTAAAGAAAATAACTTTGAAAATAACGTAATGTTTTTAATTAAAAATGTTAACATAAAAGTGGTTATTGTAAGTCAACCGTAAGAGATAGAGATATGCTATCGCGGACTTTTTTGTAGCATTTTTATAGATTTTGACTTCTCTAGTACATTACTTAACTGTATCTTTGCTAGTTTACGCGGCGTTCGCGTGGAAAGTTCCCATTTGGCGAGATTTTTGCGACCTCTTCAACATTTGTCGCCGTATTTCAGCTAATTTACATAAAAGCATAATAAATTATATACCTAAACCTTCCTCAAGAATTACTCTTTCTATTGTTGAAAACCGTATAAAAATCCGTTCAGTAGTTTTCGAGTTTATCGCGTTCAGACAGACAGGAGGACAGAAAGACGCGGCCGGGGGACTTATTTTTATAATAAGTATAGATACTTACAGTATAAGTATTTAGAAGAATTAAACGCACTAACAGACAGACGCGGTTGGAGATTTTCTTCACCAACCTATATTATTATAATATCAATAGGTATATAAATTAAGGTCCTCGGCCATGCTAAGCTTGTATTCGTTTGAGCTAATCTTAAAAACTAGTACTGAACATTCTTAGAAGGATTATTATTAAGAAAGCTTATATCTAATTAAGCAATAATTTATGAACATTTTGCGAAAATAGTTTACCGATATGATTATATTACTGAATTAAGTAAAAAAAAAACAAACAAGCAAAGCTAGGGTAAGCCACTCATTTATACTATTTAAATATTACTTGACAGTTTAATGTGTAGAAGCAAATGCACATTCCTGAAAATAATTAAACTTTTTTTTTAGGAAGCTTTAACATTTAATTTGTATTCCTCCAGGGAGGTTACGTTACATTAAAGTCTATTTTTAAAAATTATCGAGGTAATTAATTTTTAAAAATACTCTATTCAATATTTTGTGAGTTTTCGGACAGCCACTTGATTCGATTTCCCAACGACTACTCAGCTTGAGTAGTCGTTGCGATTTCCACTCGATTAAATAGTGATTAATGTAATCATATCAAAATGAAATCCATATATGAACATATATGAACGAGAGACCAAAAATTTACTAAAGAATAAAGCCAAAACAGTAAATAAACTCTAGTTCATAGCAGCTATCTATATTTCTACTGTAATGTAACATACCTAAATAAAACAGTAGAAAACAGGTTAGAGATTATACTAAGTCCTTTTTTGGAATTCTCACAATCATATTTTTAATGTTAATTGCATGTACATATTAAGTTATTATTAACTCGCGAGTAGCGACTGACCCTTAACCCCCGCTTCGTTCGGCTTCGTCCCTGGATGACACTAAAATGACAAACTTTTTTTATTTATGACCCGATTTTATACCAGACATATGCTTTTTGAAAACTTGCTTGATTCTCTCAGGCATGCAAGTTTCCTCACGATGTTTTCCTTCATCGTAAGACAAGTGGTAATCAATAATCATGTTGGAAACGATTCGCACATAAAATATAAGAGATGCGAGACCCGGGATTTGAACCCACTCCACTCGGTTTCCCAATCAAGCGCGTTACCACTGGACTGCCACTGCCTACGCATTAATTAAAATCAAAATTAACGCCATCTTCCGTTGACAAAAAAACTAAGACTTATATTTAACATTGTGTTTAGATACAATTTATGAAAATGGTTATTACTTAAAATATTTATTTTTAAATTTAATAAATAATTTTATAAAACTTAAGACCATGTATAAAATTATTTTATTTTTTTTATAAAAACGATTAATGAACGTGAGTTTTCAACGAATAATGACAAGTCAGCTGCCAAGTTGTCAAAAAATGTCAGCCAACAAGGAAACTAACCTTGTTCAGGCTTATTCGGAATTAAATAAATTCTGCCAAAGCGGAGACTATGAGAGAGCTTTAAAAGCTGCAGGAAAAGGTAAGTAATCAGATGGTGCTCTATTTCATTTATGAAACTAAATTTAGGCAGCAAAATATGTTACTAAAATCTTTCCATCAATTCATTCATCTGGACCCACTTTTACATATATGTATTATATATTTCATGTTTAGTATCCTAATATTTTTAAAGTAAGTTATATTTGTCTTTAATTTATAGTCCTGCAAATTGCACCAAATGAGCAAAAAGCATTCCACTGTAAAGTGATATGCTTCATCCAGCTTCACAACTTTAAGGAGGCACTATCTGTTCTATGCAACTCAAAAAATGCTGTGTTGGCTGCTGATTTGCAATTTGAGAAGGCCTATGCTCAATACCGGCTGAATTGCCCAAAGGAAGCTTTGGAAACTGTTGACAGTGTTCCAGAGCTGACACCAGCATTAAAAGAACTCAGGTATATTATTAATACAAAATAAATGTTTATTTTCGACATTATAACACTTTTTGTGTAAGTTATTACTTTTTTTTTTGTATTGAAATATTATTTTCTCTAGGGCTCAAATTTTGTACCGTCTAGAGCAATACCAAGATTGCTATAACCTTTATCGAGACATAGTTAAGAATACCACTGATGATTATGAAGATGAAAGGAAAGCAAATATGTCAGCTGTGGTGGCCAACTTGGCTGCTCTCAACCCGGTAAGATAATAAATACATTACATATGAGTGTATAATTTCCAAAAACAATGTATATAAACTAATTGTATTATTATTAACACCTTTATTTCATATTTATATATTTTTTGTAAATAGCAGCTTGTATGTATTCTCTTTGTCTATATGATAATTAAAAAATCCTTCTGGCATGCTTTGAAGTCATTAACAAGAAAATTAAATTGAATTGAAAATTTAATTTCAGTCAACTGAATTACCAACATTTGAAGAGAGCACCTATGAGCTATCCTACAATGCTGGTACCACACTGGCTATGCGCGGTAAATACAATGAGGCTTTGCCAGTACTGAAGAAAGCGGAGCAGGCATGTTCTGAAAGTGTCATTGACGATGGTGGTACCGAAGAGGAGGCTAAGGAAGAAGCAGCTATAATTAGGTATGAATATGTTATTTTTTTATGTTAATTAAAGTGTTACTTTTTAAAGTAATTTTGTATAGAACTGTATATAATAAGTTTTTGTCATTATAAAACATCAGCTAGGAATTCATTTTGTTCTCAAAATAAATAATTACCAATCAAATAGACTTGGCTTACATACCATTTATAAATGTAATTAAAATACAACAAAAAAATCTTAGTTCGATGCAATTGTTTCATCTTGTTCTGAGGAGAGAGAAAATTAATAAAATGGTTCTATTTTACAGTATGGAAGATAGATTTATCTAGTCACATTTGGAAAATATTTCAAATTGAAATGTAAAAAGTATTTTTCAACAATTTATTATTAATTTTATACTATTTGTAATGTGCTAACAAAATGAGACAACTGTTTGACTCCAAGGTCTGTGTATTGCTATAATTATAGCAAGTTGTACAATATGTAGGTACTGGGAATATATATAGACAATATACACATACACACTATACATTGATAGTAAGCAACCATCTAATTGCAGTACACACTTTTACTTATATAAACATTATGTTGATAGAATAATATATATATATATATATATATATATATAAAAGTATAGATTAAAATTTTAACAGATGGTGAATAATAACTGTTGTTTTTAAACTATATTTATGCGATACTTTAAACTGTTTTTGTTAGTAACAAGACCACTACTAGGAAAATTTTATTACCACCACTTTTTTTTGGTTAATCTATGAGCTATTCCAGATTATAACCTATCTCTGTGCCAGATTTATTCAGCTATGCTGGTGTGAAAGAGTAACAAACATACATCCTCATAAACTTTCACATTTATAATATTTGTATAGATGTAAGATCTGGAGATACAAATAAAAGCATAAATTATAATACACCAACTATTTACTCAAATAAGAGAAAACTATATATATGTGTATCGTCATGCCACCATAATGCCAAACCTTTCACTTTTCTTTTATACATCTATTATTCCATTCTAATCTTAAAATCAGGTCGAGTCTCCTTTTACTTTAAAAATGTAATCTTGCAAATTCCACATATATTATGTTATAGTGTATTTCCATTTCAGAGTGCAACAAGCATATTGCCAACAGCAAATGGGTAAAGAAAAGGAGGCGGCTGCACTTTATCAGAATGTTTTGAAGGACAAGCCATCTGACCAAGCTTTGATTGCAATTGCAAGCAATAATCTTGTTGTTATCAATAGGTAAGTAATTTCACCTTATATTTTTTTTATGTATATTTTTATTTTTAACCTAATGTCTGTGGGTTTTCTACAATTTTTCTTTTCCTCATGCCTATAACATTCTTGTGATATGACTCCAGAGACACGAACGTGTTCGACTCTCGCAAGCGCATGAAGGCAGCGACGCAGGACGGGCTCGAGCACAAGCTGAACTCGCGGCAGCGCGCCGCCATCGCGTACAACCAGGCCGTGCTCGCTATATACTCTAACCAGGTTCGTATGTATGTGTGTGTGTCCCACTGCTGCACGTGGACCTCCCCATAATGCGATGCACCTTCTAACCAGGTGTGTATGTCCCAATGCTGAGCGTGGGCCTCCATATAATGCAACGCTCCTCGTATTAAAGGATAGATCCATAATAGAAGGTGTATAAGACCATAGTTGGCCCTCGCTAGCCAAATGAGGCTCGACAAACTTTATATGCCTTTAAACAGGAGTAAGCAGCTTTCTTAGCCCGTGATAGGGCTTTTTTATTTTAAGCCTTGAACCCCTTTTATCATAAGTCCTTCATGTTAATTTTAATTTACACTGTTGACTGTCAAGTCAACAGATATGAATCTCAATCAGTAATCTGAGAAATACTTTATTTAGAATTTTATACAATTATATAATAATAATACTTTAATATTATAGACACTGTATTAATGATACGAGAATTGAATCATTATCAAACGTTGACGTTAGAACGACATGGTTTGTTTCGGGCTTTTAGCTAACTATATCATAAAATGCCACCATTTAATAAAAAGGTCGAAAATATCACAAAATGGTCTATGATTTACGATCTGGCCACGGCATATATCTAATATATAAATATCTCGTGTGATTGTACTGTTGTACTTCTCCTAAACGACTGGACCGATTTTATTGATTTTTGTTTGTATATGTGGTAGGTATAAGATTGGATCGGAAGAAGATTTGGTCGTAAAGTATTTTTCACCCTCCTACCCCCACCGCTGATCTTTTAATCGCAATTTTAGTATTTTTGTATGAACAATATATAAATACCAGTACATAGCAACAAACCCGAGCGAGGGTGAATCGCTGTATGACATAAAGCTAAAGAGTTTTTTTTGTAGATTGAACGCGGGTGAAGCGGCGGGTTCTGCTAATATAAATATAAAAACCATTTATAATCGCATCACTACATAGTATAAAACAAAGTCGCTTCCTGCTGTCTGTCTGTTCCTATGTATGCCTAGATCTTTAAAACTACGCAACGTATTTTGATGCAGTTTGTTTAGAGTGATTCAAGAGGAAGGTTTCAGTATATATTTTGTTAACTTTTTGTATACATTGGCTAAAATATAACGATATGTGTTGGAGGGGTCGGAAAAAATAAGCCGTCTGAGAGCCGTCAACGAAAACGCTGCCTAAACCCTTTGACATATAACAAAATAATGTATGGTGGAATTGTGTATCTTATATAGGTCTACAGAAAAGTCCGTGATGGCATACGCCTATCTCTTAAGGATAACATACTATATTCATTTTAATTTAAAACGTACCTAGGGACTAACCGAGCGAAGCGAGATTGAGTCGCTAGTAATGTATATAAATAACTTTTCAGCCGGACTTCTGCAAACAATGCTGTGTGAAACTCAACAAAGAATTCAATCAAGATAAGAAGGCAGCGTTAGTAGAAGCTTCGTCTCTTGTGAAAGAAGGAAAGAGACCTCAAGCAGTGACATTGTTGTTGAAGCATGGGGGTCTTCTTACATTGGCCGCAGTACAAGTGTTGTTGGCTCAGGTGATATGATCGTTTAATATTGTTTATTTTTTTTTATTTTGTCTTTAATTAGTTATAAGTACATCGTGCTATAAAAATAAATTGGACTGTCTCAGTATATAATATATACATGAGCGTCGTGAGTGATGCAAGGTGCTATGAAGAAAAATATATAGAACGTTTAAAGAAATAAAATTATATGAATAAAATGCCCGTTTAAATTTAGATATCTGCAAAAAAATATAAAAATTATAAACATAAATAAACAATAGGAATAATCCTACCGGTGCCCATAAATATATATATATATATATATATATATATATATATATATATATACTAAAATATGAAAAAAATCATTTAGCATTTGATAAAAACAAATTTCAATGACCTTAACCATTATTAGCCGTGGTTATTTAACTCACAGAAAAAACAGCGCCCTCTAGACATATGCAGTACAAACTCATTTTGTAATGGCGGACATTTCAATTAGTTAAATTACGGTAATTTGATATACTTAAAGCATAAATCTACATACATATTATATATACATACATATACATATATATATATATATATATATATAAATCTATATGTGTATTTATGTTCCCTATGAACTCCAAAACTACTTGAGCGATTTTCGTGTTTTCAAGCAATTTTCAGATTAGCCCAGCCATCGAAAGTTTAAACGCGGGCGAAGCTAGTAACACATAAATATGAATATTTTAATTAAAATTTAAAAATACAGGGTGATCGTAAAGCAGCGGTTAAATTACTGGAAGAGAGCGAGTTCAAGTTCAGGCCCGGAGTCATCGGGCTACTCTGCACTCTGCTTACTGCTGATAATGAATACGAAAAAGCCTCTAAACTGTTTCTAGATGCCTATGAACATTACAAGAATGATGATGAGGTTAGTTAGTATATATATAATATTGTGAATTATCTGTGGAACTGTCAAACGATTTTTAAGATCTTTCATGTAAATAAAAAATGGTAGTAAAAGTGAAGTGCTTAAAATATTCAGCTGATAAATTCAAGTAAGCATATCACCTTTGCCCGTCACATATCCCTACATAAATAAACCCCCGTACGAACGGTTTATCAAGGTGTATTAGACAACTGTTTAAATTAATAAATTGAATTGTCCGGGGTTCGAGACCCGGGTCAGGTCATATTTAGTTAATGAGTTTTCTGTTAAGATTCTTAGTAACGACCCAGTGTTAGTTTTCTTAGCTTGGGGATAGAATTTGTAGCTTATAAAAAAAAAGTTTGAATGATTTTTTTTTGCGTGATCATCTTTGACAAGAATTGACGAGTAATATACCTAGTCATTTTATACTCAACTTTCACTGGAATACAAAAAAGTAACAAGTCTTTTTTCAACTTTTTCCAAATTTCAATAACGCAACTTTACAGTGGATATTGTGTAGAAATTCGTCAATTCTTGAATGCTTTCAAAGGTGATCAGTCGAAAAAAGCAATTCCCATTCAAACCAAAAATTTATACTAATTATTTTAAAAATCAGTGGACCACCTCAAAATGTTGAGTATGTGGCGAAACACTAAAAGATTTTTTATATGTTGTTTCGTTTCGCCAGTTTAAAAACAAGAAGAACAAGTTAAGTTGACATATGTCATGTAACATTATTTGGTTTTTAGATATTATTAAACTGATGTAAATAATTGTATTGGAGTTGGAGAGCGGCCCTAACTAACGCCTTCCCCTATCCACAGAAGCTGTCGTCGCTGCGGCACATGTGGCGCGCGGCGGCGGACGCGCACGCGCGCGCCGGCGACGCCGCCGCCGCCGCGCAGGCGCACGAGGCGCTGGCGCGCGCCGCGCCGCAGGACAAGCGCAGCCTCGCGCGCCTCGTCAAGGCGCTCGGCGGCGACCCCGACCGCGCGCGGCAGCTCGCCGCCGGTCTGCCGCCTATATCGCAACTCGAGGTGAGTGTCCCGCTCGCGCGTATAGCGCTGTCTCCCTCGCAAGTGTTGTAGTGTTATTTCGGGTCGAGGTGAATACGTCTCGCTCGTACGTGTTGTAGTACTATCGCGACTCAAGGTGAGTGTCTTTCTTGCGTGTAGAGCGCTGTCTCGCTCGTACGTCTTGTAATACTAACGCAGAACCAGATGAAAGCGCTCCATTCGTGCGTATAGCGCTATCTCGCTCGTACGTATAGTAGTACTATCGCAATCGGGATAAATCGTTACCCACTCCCAAGGATGTGAGATGAGATCACCTCACGAGTCTTTGTGAAATGAGTGAGATTGTAATGAACCAGAAATACATTATTATCCTGTTCTAACCCTCCCAAAAGCGTGTGGCAAAAATATATTTACACTGAACATCTATACTTGAAAAAAATTTAAAAATGTAATTTTTATTATGTAATTGTGTTATGTGAATTATATCTACGTAGAACGTGTATTACTGTCCTACTCTTAAGTATGAAATATCTCTTAAGTATGTCGAATCATCTCACTCACACTTGCCAAGTAGCTGTAACTATATACACAGTTTTCAAGTTATTTTGTTTTATATTTTAGGGTAAGATCGACGTGGACGCACTAGAGTCGTCTAAATGGATGATGGGTGCTAAAGTTGTCAAAAAGACCGTACAGAGCAAGCAGGAACAGTCCCCTGGGTATGTATTTGTTTATTTTATTATTAATGTTTTAACTTGGTTAAAAAGAATATATTCATTGAAATGAAAAATAATTTCAATTTTCAAACATTTGTTCCGCCAAATACATTAAAATCTAAACTTAAGTCATATATTTTCAATTATTATAAACACATTATTTTTAACAGCACACCCGGTTCTGAATTGGGTCAGAAGACGAAGGCTAAACGCAAGCGTAAGACCAAGTTGCCACCCAACGCTGACCTCTCCAGGCCTCCAGACCCAGAGAGGTAATGGTTCATATTTAACTGGACAATAGATATAGGATAATATAATATATATTTTTTAAATATAAAATAGCTTTTAAAAGTTATAGGTTTTTGTTTAAATATTTATTAAGGGGGGTCATAAATCGGTTTAAAATTATTAACGTTATTGCGTTACAATTTATGTTTTAAAATATATATATACTAGCGACTCACCTTAGCTTCGCTCAGGTTCGTCGTTCGGCGTTCGTATTTATAAGGAAAATACAATTTTTAAAATTTTTGTCTGTCTGTCTGTTTGTTCCGGCTGATCTCCGAAACGGCTGGGCCGATTTCGACGGGTCTTTCACTGGCAGATAGCTGATGTTATAGGGAGTAACTTAGATTACTTTTATTTTAGTAAAAGAATTAGGGTTCCGCTCAAAAAAATGTACTAGGTATATATTTTTTTACGAACCCGATTGAAGCGAGGGTGAGTCGCTAGTACCATATATAATTCCATATGCATTTAGTAAAAAGCTGTTATTTTGACATTACAAACAGACACTTCAATTTTATTTATCTGTATAGATGTATAAATAAGCTAATGAGAATATTTCGCATATGTATTCCAGATGGCTGCCGAAGTACGAGCGCGCGGCGTACCGCAAGCGGCGCGGGCTGCGGCGCGACGTCATCAAGGGCAGCCAGGGCATGACCACCGCCGCCGTCGACCAGTAGTCAGTACCACACTTTTATTTTAATACTAGCGACTCATTCCCACATAACCACCTCTATACATACAGGTGGTTATGTGGGACTTGTGTATTCAGCCCTTTTTAACGTCCCACTGCTGGGCACAGGTTTAATTTTTGAGTTAAATCCTATAAAAAAACACGCACGCACACATGCACACACGTACATACTGACACACACACTACGAAGTTGTATTCGTAAACACATAACATATATAATAGTAATGTAGTTAAATAAAAGTCATATGTTGTATAACTTGTCGGATTTTTTCACGGTTTTATTTTGATTTCCGACGTTTCGAATGCTTTATAGCAATCATGGTCACAGGCGAGACTAAAGCCGGCCATACACGCTAGGGTGAACCTGATAGGTATAACTATACAGTTTTACTGTACAGGCAAACCTGAAGTGAATAGAGACCATACACGTAGCGAAAAACTTGTACAAACTCTCAGTTGAAATCGTGGCCCTGCCCGCGGCGCTTGATATCGACGCAGTAGCGTTAATTGGTTTGTTGTTTGTTTTATTGAGGATTTTGAGATTGTTTTATTGATAAATCCGTGAAAAAACACCGAAAAGATAGTTTTAGTTAAAATGTCAAAAATTCGCGTAATTTTTTTACAGTATTATATAATGAAAATCCTAAAATAAATCCAAAATAATCTATAATTCGATAAAAACAGCGACATGAGCAAGCAAGCGCCGTCGCCCGCCGCCGCGTCGGCCGCCGCCGCGCGCTCCCCGCGCGTGGACAAGGGCGACAGCGCGTGGCGCAAGCAGCAGAAGAAAAAGGGCAAGGCTAAGGGCAAATGGTAGAATATATTGTGTATCTGTATTGTGTGTTTTATTTGTCAAACCTCACCTATATCCATACTAATATTATAAATGTGAAAGTGTGTTTGTTTGTTTGTTCTTCTTTCACGTCCAAACAGAGTGACGGATTGCCGTGATTTTTTATGTGACAGTTGGAGAGCTGGAGAGTCATATACATAGGGTACTTTTTACCGCGAGAGATTATCGAATCCCCACGGGAAAACACGTTATAATACCAGAATTACTTGAAACATGGTATTAATGCTTTTCAATGCAATTAAATAAATACAAGTTTTAGCATTTTTCGAAATTCATCCCATACGGGTATAATAGAGGGGATGAAAGTTTTTATGAAACCTACCTTTTTTTTTGTAGTTTTAGCGCGAGCGAAGCCGCGGGTTCTGCTGCTAGTTATAAATAAACAAATAAATATGTTGGGACAGTAACACACAGCACCATCTAGTTCCATGGTAATGTACGAGACCTGTGTTATGGATACCAGATAGTTGATACACTACACATATATAACTATAAATACATAGGTACATATTATGAATATGGACACCCATGACTGGAGTACAAATTAAAATAAAACTTGTGATCATCACGTAAATGAATACCCCCAACGGGACTCGAACCCGTTTATCGCTGGCACAACAAATAGGATCACTACAAACTGAGCAAATGTGTCGTCAACCTAATAAAAGTTAATTTTGCGGCCGAACGCGTGAGACAGAAAACATCCCATATCTCAAAAAACTACTCAACGATCTTCTTCAAAATTATTTTCATAGAAATCAATTTAAATTATTGAATAATTTTCGTAGAAAGTATTCCAGAAGCTCTATTATAATTTTTAGATTTTCCGACCCATACTCCAAAATTAGGAGAGGGGTACAATATATTTTACGACTTCAGAACATAACATGAAACTGGCAAAAAAGGCACTAAGAAACAGCTATCAAAATTTTAATAGTCCTATTGAGAGACAACCCACACGCTTAAGAGGATTTTAAAAAATCACCACTCAACGAAGGCTATCGTTTCTGGTGGCACCAGCTGGCGCCACTGTCGAGTAAGGTATCGCTCTCCTTGAAAAAGCATATTTTGTTAGTGCGGCAAGGCAATGAATTTAATATAATATGTATGCTTGCAATGAATTTAATATAATATAACATGTATGCTCAGTGTGTAGTGACCCTACTTGCAGTGCCAGCGGTCGCGGGTTCGAGTCCCGCTGGGGGCATTCATTTGTGTGATGAGCACGAATGTTTGTACTCCAGTCATGGGTGTTTATATTTATAATATGTATGTATTTAAAGTTATATGTCATCATACATATCAACTATCTGGTATCCATAACACAGGCCTCGTAGCTTACCATTAAGAATAGATACATTTGTTACTATTTAAATTCAATAGCGGGTAGGTTCAAAAATACTAAAGATATGTTTTTTTTAGTAGAGAACCAAAGCCAGATTTTTTTAAATGTCATTATAGTCAGATATTTTAGAAGGATACTACTATACAAATTATAATTAACTGGGAATTATTTAACAGAACAAAGGAAATGAAAAACTAAAACGAAAGCTGTTGTCAAAATGAAATTTATTACTAACATAACATCTTAGTTTATCTTTTAGCATTCCTCCTCTTAGATTTACCAGGTCTCACATTTTTCTTACTATTGGGCTTAAAGTTCTTAGTTTTAAAATTAAACGGCTTTTTCTTAGCTGAGCTGTTAAATCCATCCATTTGATTTGACGAGTCTCTTGTATTCAGTTTAGATCCCTTCTTTTTACCTCCAAAGCCAAATTTCTCATTTTTCATAGCTCGTTTTTTATTAACTTTGTTTTTTGGGTTGCCCCCCTTATTTGCATTTTTGCCTTTGTTATCTTCTAAAAAGTCCAAATCAGTTGACTTTCCTTTCCTGACCCTTTTCAATTGTTCTAACATTTGCTTCTTATCAGCAGCTTGTTTTAGTTTAGTGTCAATCTGGAATTAATAAAAACTAATGAAGTAGGGCTCTTCCATAACATTGTTCTTATGTCCCCTTAAAATAATTATATAACACTAGCAACTCACACCCTCGCTCCATTCGAGTTCATCCCTAGTTTTAATGCTTAGTATAGATTTCTCAGAGATTATATATTTTCCTGCAGTAAAAAGTATCCTATATGTTGACCCAGATAACCAGCTATCATCATATCAAATTCCAGACAGACACACAGACAAAAATTCTAAAAACTATGGATGCGGCCTCTGTATCAATAATTTAATATGACTATTTCAATTACATTTTCCAAAAAATATTTAATGTACAGATTCAACTCAGAATTTTATTGATATGTTGGGACATTAACTCACAGCACCTCTGGTTCCATGGTAAGCTACGACGAGGCTTGTGTTATGGATACCAGATAGTTTACCACTACATATATTATTTTATAACTTTAAATACATACATATTATAAATACAAACACCCATGGCTGGAGTACAGACATTCGTGCTCATCACACAAATGAATGCCCCCAGCGGGACTCGAATCCGAGACCTCTGGCACAACAAGAGTCACCACAAACAGCCAAATGTATCATCAAATTTAATATATATACATATATATATATATACACATATATATACATATATATATATATACATATATAGATTTATTATATATATAGATTAAAAATGAAATAAGAATTTCCCCAAAAAATCACCTATTTTACATATTAATTATACTGAACTATATTAAAAACATTTCTAAAAAATATTTAATGTGACAATGTACTTTCTTACTTACTTAGTTAGATATATTACTATAAGAAATAAGAATTAATTCAAAATATACCTGTACTCTCTTAGCTATTTTCTTTTGGTCTCTTAATTGGCGAACTTTCTCTGTTCTAGCCTGAGCAGCTTGTTTTGCCATCAAATTCTTTCTAACTTTCTGCATATGCTCATCTGACTTTGCCATTTCTGCAAAATAGTCATCTGGTCTGTAAACAAACAATTCCAAACATTAATAAAATAAAGAAATATAAGTATACAATGCACAATATATTTTTTATGATATTATTAACCTTTTAGTTGGAATATTCAGTTCTTTAAGCCTCTTGATTCCATCAAGAACTGCAGCTTGTGCCTGTCTGTGAATCAGATTCTCTCTTTTAAACTCATTTAAAACTGGGTCTTGAGTTGGATCATACAGTTGATTTCCTTTTGTATTCTCTTTAATATTCCTGGAAACAATAAAATATTATCTTTGTAATATCTTAAACAATATAACTTGCAATATATTAAACAAATATTTCGTTTCCAAGAACGTTATTTGAGTAATTTACGTTATAGTACTTAATATTTTTTTGGGCTTTATTTATTATAACTGCTGTTATGGGAATCACATGAAAGCTAAATTATCTTTCAATTAAAATTTCACAAGTACTTATGAAACTATGTACTTTTGTACTTACTTTCTTCGCTGTGCTGTTTGTTGCATTTGCAGAGCAACATCAGGGGCCATCGGCGCAACTGAGGTAACCAAGTCCAAAGTTTCAACCCATGGCAATTTTAATTCAAATTCTTTCAATTTTGCTCTAAGATCTGCTACATTATTAGTGTATCTTTTTTCAACTTTCTCTATTTCTTCATTAAGGCCAGGCTTCAGTAATCCCTTCGCAAATGCTTCTTGTAACTTAAATGAAAAACAATTTTAATGAATACAAGTTAAAGTTAAATTAGAAAGTGTCATAGTATATCTTACCTCTTCGTCTGAATCAATTTCTGTATCGCTATCATTTAGTACGAAATCACTCATCTTAATTTATATTTTCTTAGTTGTATTCCTTAAAAATTAAAATTATCATAACCTCAAATTAAATTCAAAACAACGTGTGATTGACAAATTTGAAATTACAAATGTTATTATTAATTAGTTATCTATGGTTAAAAGTTCTCTATAGAGTATACAATCATGTTTGATGATGATGATTAAAAATCATGGATGACAAATAAAAATAAAAATCTACACAGTAAAATTGTTATGGGATAGAAATTTTCCTTTTTTTCCGCCAGATGTCGCGATAGCTATGATCCTCAGAATAAGGAAATGCTCTCTATCATGGATATTTAAAATTTAATTAAAATAACATGATGCAGTACCAGGATGCAAAGAAAATGGATATTATTTGTTCCCAAAAGAAAAACTAAAGAAATTGTGGGTTAAAGCAATAAGACGACCAAAATTAGCAAATTCACAATCTTTATTTTTAAAGGCTATGTGGATAACATTTTTAAGAAAGTGATTTTAATACTCTTAAATTGTTAACAGATGAATATATTTTTTTTGATTTTTCTCTATTTTTAACATATTAATTATAGAATCTTATACAAACTTTCATCCCCCATTTTATCTCCTTGTGGGATTGAATTACAAAAAATACTAAAACATATTTTTATTTAATTGTATTGAAGAGCATTAATACCAAGTTTCAAGTAGTTTTGATCATAAATAATTCTTTACGCATTTAAACTTTATTTCCCTCTTTTACCCCTTTAAGGGATAAATTTCGAAAAATCCTTTCTTATCGAATGCCTACATAATATAAGGAATGCCAAATTGAGTTTACAAAAAAATAAACCGAATTCAAAAAAAATACTCAAAAGTAAAAAGAAAAATACTCAAAAGTAAGAGGGTTTTTATTTTCTATAGATACCTGATCAGATATTTTCGTAGTCGGTGCCAGCTTAAAAGTTACCCACTCCTACAGTAGCAAGTAAAATAAATTTAAAAAAAACTCAAAATTATTAGAATAGGATTACACCCTGTTTTCCAATAACAAAGTATATTGCCGTACTTTGGCACACAATGCCGAAGTGTGCTATTGCTTAATTGGAACGTGAATTAGTTTTCAAGTGCACCAGCAGCCGGCACTAGGTTCAGTATTGAAAGAAAAAATAAATAAAGAGTGCGTGTATGAATAATAAATGAGTACACGCGCAAGGAGTAAAACTTCTGTAGGTTATTGGTACTCTTTATGATATTCAATTTATGTTTTAAAGGATTAGGATAGGTGAGATACTAAAAATAACGCATATAAGGCATATTACAATCGTATATTTATAGAATAGCATTTGAGAAAAGAATAAAATATTACAAATTTATACCTTATTTATAACTTCACCGTTCGACATGATTAACTTATCAGTGGAAACTTTATTGGTCTATGAACGATTTATATAAGTTGTTGTTTAAATATTTGTGAACGCCGTATGTTTCCACAATAAAAATAAAAATCATTTGTCAGATAATAACAACGGTTACCATGGTCCACATACGTGCGTTCATCTTGGCGTGGTGGGGGGGCTCAGTAGTGCCCGGCAATCCAGCCGGGCGCGAAGCCAAGAAACGCACAGGGAGGTGGCCCGCTTCGGTGGGCGGTGGGAGGTGGCTTTCTTCGGAGGGCGGTGAACCATGCGGGTTGCTCCTGGTACTTCTCTGATAGCAGAGTGGGCCTTGGAGCAACCCCGTGGTTGTTGTGGTCTGCTTCGGCAGACCTGCCGTTGGGCCGTCGTAGTTGAATGCGTAAGCGATCCTGCGACGCCCCATTAACACGGGGGAAGGTTTTGTTGAGTTTTAGTGGGTAGTACTGGCTTCGCCGGTGAGTCCCACACCTCGTGCGTAAATGTATTTCCCAACGTTAAAAAAACGGTTACCATAGCAACAAAAGTACGTACATTTTTTTGTAACGCATTCACCAGCTTACCCCCCAAGTCAAGCGTACGTAAAGAAGTTTTACTTCAATATAACTAACTAATCGGTATATAATATATAATAATACATATCATCGATATTATAAATTATCTAATAAATATATGATAATATTATTAATATATAATTATATAAATAAAATATAAACAAATATTACTAACGATATTAATGTAAATTATAAATAAAATTTTGATCAATACCACCTTGAAGAAAAAACACTTCTCATATTTTCTGCTATTGAGTTGGTATCCTTGCGCGCATCTCACCAAAGCAGTACTTTACAAAATGCTTGATTGAGCGGAGCGTTGCTGTAGTTAAAACATACGAAGTTAGCACTATGCCGCTTAATGTACTTTAGTGCTGTAATTGGAAAACAGGAACAGCATCTCACGGCAGTTTATTTAAGATTATATTTAGTAACTTAACTTATTTAGTAATTTTAGACTTAGTAAATAGATGAGGTTTCGCATACTACAGTTTCATTATCTACTTTATTCACCCAAAAATATTACATTTTTCAACTCGGCGCACTTCACTCAGTCTACAACTGCTAAATTCATATCATATTCCTTACTTACGCTAGCTCCATTCTGGTGGGTTTTTCTGGTGGGTGCGAACAGTTGCTTACTACTGCGTATACGTGGATACTTTATCCTCTTGTTTCCCATATAAGATGGTTCTCCCTACTTCTACGCTCCATAATCTATGATATTAATGTACGAGATAATTTGCATCACGAATAGAAATGCTACGCAGATAATTGATGTTATAAGGAGTAACTTAGGCAATGTACTTTTATTTTAAGAAAAGAATTAAGGTTCCGCTAAAAAAATTAAAACGTACTTAGTAACGAACCTCGTCGCTAATGGACGCAGTTTCATAGTAAATATTTATGAGGCAAATTTTTGCGGTATTTTTTTTTATTGTCGGTCGACAAGATGACTCCATGACGCCTGATGGTAAGCGACAGTGGAATCCAGAATGAGATCCATCGGTTCCGGGACTTGATCTCGATTCCGATCAACCTCACCTCATCGGCCTGCAAATGTGCTTATTCACGCTCCGTTTAAACGACCCAGGATTATAGGAAGAGGGAAACACGTGAGACGGTAATGAATTCCATTTCCTAATAGTGCGGCACAGGTGGGAGCTGCCAAACCTTTTGGTACGAGAAGGTATGGGTAGTACCGTGTGACGATGGAATTTCCGACCAGCACGTGTGGTTTTGGAGAGGAAAGGAGAGGAGGGTATAAGTTGGAAGAGCTCTTCTGAAGGTTTTCACTGAGGTTCGATTCGCCTCGATTCCGCGCCCTAGCGGACGCCAGGCATTAAGATAGAAGAATGATTAAAATATTTTAAACTTTGCAGGCAAAAGTTCTTATGGTTAAATTATAATTATTTTATTATGAAATTAACGAAAACAATTATAAAAGTGCTTTAAAAAACATTTTATTACAATAGTAAAATGTATAATATATTTTTTAAGTTTCCATAAAAAAATCTTTTTTTACATTTTTATTCATACAGCTACTCACGAAGAACTTCGAATATTATAATGAGAATAACAAAAGATGAAATCGATTTCTGATATAATTAGAAAACTTAAAAAAGATTTACAATAATAATATTTTTAAGTATCCATTTTTCATCTTAAATATCGTTTTAGGCGACAAATTGCCAAAAAATATAAGGTCGTTGATTATTGTCAATTAATAACACTGGTATTAATTAATATAAAGAAAACCAGATTATTTCTCAAGATTACTTAAACTGATATAATATAAGCAAGTTTAATTGCCTGCATGGTTTTACTCACGTTTTACTATATAATTATTATCCATACCTAATATGTGTACGTAAATGTATGTATGATTGTTTGTTACTTGCGTTACTTTTTTTGTAAGGACATAGTTGGAGGTCTATCGAAAGCTACTCTACGGAAAATATCATATTCCTATAGGTTAACATAATATTATATTAAAATTGATACAACTGGAATTTCGAATTTTGTATTAAGAGTTAAAGAAATACTATTTGTACAGAAACAAGTCATAGCACCTCTTTACAAATTTTAAAATCGATATTAGAAAATAACATAGTAACATTATCGAATGTACAATAACAAATAATGAGTGTACAGTTTGTATATTCGAAAAAGAAAAATAAAATATTTTCTTAAACTTTGTTGAACTCAAAAAATATTTATATACAAGAAAATAATTGATCTGCATTACTTTTTATTCATATCTTTAATCTTTATACAAAATAAAAATAAAATTGTCTATTAGAATAAATTGTAAGAAGTTTTGTTTATGGGTATTATTTAAAAAAACTAATTCACTATGGTTAAATCATAGACCATTCTATGGGCAATGTTTTAGTTGTCTGTACAAAATATAGTCAACTGTAAAACTTCTTTAACTTATAATTCTAATTATCTTTTTAAAATATAAATGGTAGCTGTTAAAAAAATAATTATTGTTTTAGTGTTAATATTGTGTACAATTAGAGTACAATTACTTATTTTTTCTTTAGTAAAAATATTTTAAGCCTTACTTGACCGGAAGTTCTAAGTACTTATACATGTTCCGTGAAACCCCCCGATGTTTTGTATCTAGAAAATGCAATGGCCGCCATCTTCGACTCTTGTGAATGTTTTGGTCGTAGTTTCGAACTTTGAGGCCTTTTTCGTTTGTGCTATGCAAATACTGGATAAAAATAGTTTCGCTAGATCGTAGAAATTGTAAAATCGTTTGCGCACTGGTAAGTACTACTTTCCTTCATTATTTTCTCGAAAAGTGTTTACATCTGGATTTCGTAGCCTAACTTTTGTGATGTCGACTTTTATACGTAATTACTCGTGGTGTTACTCGTACACATATCATTTATATATTAGGAATGTAATATTTAATTCATTCTAAACTCTACAGAGGTGATATAAATATACAAACCTCACTTTCGTATATATTTATATATTTCACTCCTTTGTTACTAAGCGGAATATATAAGCCATTATTATTTACAAATTACATCTATTTTGTGTTTTAAAATACTCTTTTTTTACTGTGTTTTTCATTTTAAGGTTAGTGTTTACTTTTTTTGATGTTTAGAGACATTTCAGTTTTCGTGCCACAATAATGGCGGCAGTAAATTTTAACCTATCCAAGAAATTTTCTTATTTACGCTTGAATACCATATGCTATTATACATTATTTTTGCTGTTATTTCTTGTATTTTCTCGTAGGAAACAATAAAAATGTGACTTTTGACTATTTTCTGGAACAATGACCTCGACTGTCATATCGTATTTGTGGACTAAAAATATTTTCACAAGATTATTATGCCATCAAAAATTGTGAAGATTACAATGGTGGATGGATAAAAAGTCGATTTTCGATTGCAGTCATATGGAATAATTCTGGAGGCCGGGTGCTCTCCATCGCATCATATCGGGTTGGACCCAAGATGCTATTCACAGCATGTCAGCTACATCAGAATATGAACCAGCGGTCCGGCAAGTAAGTTCATTCATTTTCCTATATAATAAACCTTACAACTACACTAAAAACAAGTACTAATAATGCTTAGTCTCTATCACATAAATGCATAAGTTAAGTGTTCAAATCATATCATACTATTTGTAATTTGCTTATCCAGACATTAAACTTGATTACAAATAATTAAGTCTCAATGCTACTCAGTCATGGTATTCAATTGTGTTCTACGAATAGTGTTAGAATTAATATTAGCTAATTTTGTGCTGTATATAGTATAATTGTTTTTCATGCATCAATTACAGGTATAATAGAAAGTGGATGTAATAAATAAATATTCTAAATTTAATGTTGTATTATTGATTCCTTTAGTTTTATAATTATATTGGTGAATTATATAGTTTTTTATTTTCAGTGCATAGTATGGTAAGTGTGTTGTATTATTTTTGATATAATAATCATTTTTGATGGAACTTATCACAAGCTCTGCTGAATGGGGGCATTTGATATGATATGTCAGTTATTACTAAAGCTCTTTGTGGTATGCATGCTATTTATTGTGATGGTAGTACATTATAATTCAAGACAACACATTTTGATTATTTTAATAATTGTAACATTATTTGGTATACAAACATGGTCATTAAAATAATAAGGTAGTAAATGTTACAATTAATGTTAGATTTGTTGTCTAAATGAATTTAGTACGCAAAATAACTTTTTATTAACCTTACTTGAATGTATCAATTAGCAACTGCGAATGATGTATATTAAATACTTAATTTTATTAAATCAGCATAATGATATTCTTATTTTTTGTTATAGGATTACGGGCCGACCACCTCCAGTGAAAATATATATGGGCATGTGTTGGATCACAAATTAACTGATACAATGGATATATCTAGTGTAAGAACCCCTGTTCTACGGGCTGTTCCTCTTTCACCCACTCAAGGTGACCCAGAACCTGATTCCACAAACCCAGAAAGTATAATTCAGTCAGTTCACAAGGTTGATAAAGATATTGAGTATCATATTAATGAAAAGAGGTGTGACGCAGAAATGTCTGTAGATTCTCTCTCTAGGATCGTTAGGATTGAAGAAACTACATTAGATAATGTGGGGCGCTTGGCTTACCCCATCATTCAAGAAACAGATGATTCAGATGGCAACTATGTAGAAAATACTGCCACTTTAATACAAACTCCGTTAAATACGGCGATTGTACAAAATGTCGCTAAACTCCCACAAAACTTTACAATTAATGTAGATGCTGCTGTCGGTAATATTACAGCTATACAAAATGTTGCTCAAGATGTGTCAGGCAACCAAACCCTATGGTTACCCACAATACTTGCCACCAGTGCCACAGATGGAAAAAATGAAGAAGATAGACCCCCAGGTGTCGCACAGATTATAATTACAAGTGAAAGCTATGTTAATGACACAAGTCAGGCCGGTAGGAGAACGAATATAATCACCGAAACAAGTTACATTAGCCGACCTAAGACCTCTAAGGTACAGATTTTGAGCAACATATCTTTACCCAAAAATTCTAATTACCCCCAGCAATATATTGCTCAAAGTAAAGAAATTGCCGCACCAGTATATGGAACTCAAAACCACATATACAAACTGAGTGCCAATGTAGTATCACAGAAACATTTAAATAATGCTATGTTAAGCACAAAACCGCCAAAGTCACTTATAGGTGCTTCCCTATCTCCAACAGTAATAAATAATAGCCCGATTAAAAATGTGCCATATAGTCACACATATTCTAAGAGCACAAATTTAAATAAGGTTAATAATGGTGCTAATTTGAATGCAATGGTGGCAGCTTCCTCTGGAAGCTCTCAATGCCATATCTTATCCAGAGTTGTGTCTGGACCAAATAAGATATCTGTACATTCGGGGAGAAAATCAATAAATACTTTTAAGGGCTCGAAAAATTCACAAATGTCCAATCAGAAAAATCAATCGAGAGCAATAAAAATAATTCAGCAGGCTGGTACTGCTAAATCTGAAAGTAAGGCTTGGCCTGTCGCTAGCGTTACATATAAAAGTTCTAACTCTAACTATGCAGAATCTAATACTTCTAAAGTAATACAAAAAGTTGGAAGTCCAACACATAAGGCGCAACAGACTATGACATTGCAAAAGGTTCCTAAAGGTGAACGTCTTGTACTACAGTCTCCATGTGGACCTGTTTTACTATCTACAGCTCCGATAAGTTCTAATATACCTAAAGGGCCTCATTATGTTCAATCGGGATCCACACCTAATTTGAGATATGTCCAAACATACGGTCCAGATAACCAACTGTCAACAGTTTCTCAAGTATCTGCTAATCAGCAATTGACTGCTCAGATTCTGCAGTCATTATCTCAGCCTAAATTGATGCTGCAAAGCCCAACACCGATCCAACCTGTTAATGTTACTCCTCCAGTCATAGAGGAGCTAGAAGTAAAACCTGTCAATCAAAAGAGGATTGTGTTGTAAGTATGACTAATATCTTTGGTATAAAAATTAGAATTACTAAGTGCTTATTTAACGCAAATTCATTTTGAATTATAATTAGAACACAGTAAAAATAAATCATCTGAAAATGACAGTTTTAATGTATTTTAGAGTGTTTTATTTAAAAATAGTTGAAATTCATAATGGTACATTTATAATATAACTTTGTAAATTTTACTTTATATGAATGATATTTTTAAATACATGTTTATGATAATTTGTTTGAATGAGTGCAGATTTGAATAGTATTGCTCATGTTCATTAAATGGTTAATTATAAAGTTATATAACTAGCATTGCCCGCGGCTGCGCCCGCGTTCAGATAACCAAAAATCAAATTCTTAGGCTTTACATATTAGTATACTCTTACATTGCAGCTTTTGTATTTTTTCTCAGAAATGAGACATTTTCCCGCGGTAAAAACTAAAAAGTATCCTATATGTTGACCCGGATAACCAGCTATCACCATACCAAATTTCATCCAAATCCCTCCATTGGTTTTTATGTGATGCGGTAACAGACAGACAGACAAAAATTCTAAAAACTATAGATTCGGCCTCTGCATCGATAATAAAGTCTATTTCAATAACATTTTCCAAAAAACATTTAATGTACAGATTCGGCTTAGTTACAATTTTATTATATGTATGAAAAAAAAAAGCAAGCAAAGTTGTTTTAACAATATATTTCTTTTGTTTCAGCGGTGACAAATCTATGCTTTTAACAGCGGATGATATAATTGGTATGGAAGAACGGCCTAATCTATCGGAAGAGTTGCGCAGATACTCGTTCCAGGCGTTAGCTCTCATAATGCTGGATCACACTTACGCTTTGCCCGCGCAAAAACAACCAGCCAGTACCCCGACGACGACCGTCGCGGCTTTATCCCCAGTAATAACTACACCAGCTACCACAGCTCCCATGAGTCCTTTAAAAACTCCCACCCCTATCACTACTGTACCCCATGAACAATCACCACCAGTACCAACCACTGCAGTCGGAACCCCCATACCGGTCACTACCCCACCTACGGGAGTTCCATCAAAACCGGTCGCTTTACCTCAAGATGATGATACAGCTTCTATTATATCATCAGTAGAAGGTGAGAAAAGAGCACCGGCTCCAGGTGGAAGTGACACAGAAACAGCGCCAGAAGGCGAAGAGGAAGGGAAAACTAGATGTGTATGTAATTTCACACACGACGACGGCTATATGATATGTTGTGATAGATGCGGAGAATGGCAACACGTTGATTGCATGGGGATTGATAGAAATAATATACCGGACGCGTACATGTGCGAGTTGTGCCAGCCGAGGCCGATCGATCGGCGACATGCTAGATCTATTCAGCTGAGGAAGAGAGAAGAGTTAAGTGCTCTAGGTGCTTCAGACTCTGATTCTTCTGAATGTGACAGATCTGGACAAAGAAGAAAGCGATTGCTAACAGTCACAACATATACGAACACGAGCGGGTCTTGTGTCACTACATACAATTCTAATCTACCAGTTTTGCCCCCACTACCACAGCCAACGTTAGCGTTGCCCAAACGAGGGCCGAAACGCCCTAAGAAGGCAGAAGTCATAAGAAAAGGAACGAAGCGAAAACTCTCCGAGAAGAGAGTGAAACGGAAAAAAGAATTGTTACTAAATAGAAGTAAATATAACTCCAGCAGCTTGTCAACAACTCAGTCGCATTGGCGTGATCTATACGAGTTAGCTATGACGAATCACTATAGTCCAGAATTGAGAGCTAAAATAATGAAGTATAGCAGTAAATTGGGCAGTTCCCCGAACATGGCGTCAGCTATAACCGCCCACTTGTGCACAACAGTCCCACACGCGGGAGGCAAAATACTAATAGCAACCAAGGATCTCAAAGAGAACACCCCAGTTATTGAATTGCGAGGAAAATACATGTTATCCAATCAACATAGACCCCAATTGCAAAATTCCGCTCGGGCTGGCAGTCAGAAACCGGGACCCTTCGTATTTTTCTACAGATTACCTAAAGATAACACACAGATATGCATCGACACGCGGACTTATGGGAATGAAGCCAGATTTGTTCGACGTTCGTGCAAACCTAATGCGGAATTGCAACACTGCATAGTGAAAGGAGCTCTCCACGTTTATTTGGTGACGATCAATGATATACAATCTAATACGGAAATTACAGTTGGTCACGACACAAACGGCAGCAAGCAGCCGTGCGCTTGCGGAAATCCTAAACATTGTAAAGTTAATGGCTTAAGTTCTTTAGTCAGCCGAAAGAGCATAGACTACCCACCAAGAGAAAAGCGAAGTAGAAATAGATGCTTTAGTTCGTCATCACAATTGTCTCCCCCACTGGCTCCGATCGTACATACTCCCGTGAAAGAATCATTTCCATTCCCTGTTATTACCAAAATGTCGCCTGTCGAAGAGCCGCCTGCGCCATTAGATTTTATTCCACAAGTAAAATCCGAACTAATAATGGATTTTAAAGAAGAAGAGAAGGAAGAAAAAGAAGAGGAAATGGATTTGACAGCCAAAGAAGAAATGAAGCCAGATATCGATGAACTCGATTTCGTCAAAATTGAACCCCCGATTGAGGAGAAGCTTGATACAATCGAAAAGATAGAAGAGAAAATAAAGCAAATAGAAGAACCAGAAATTAAACCTGAACCGGATCCGGTCCCCATAACAGAAGCTCCTGAAATTTTACCGGAAGACCTGGATATTAAAGAAGAACTTGCAACTCCTATTGAAACTGAAGAACCAGAACCTGAGAAGGTGGAAAAAATTGAAAATATTGAAAAAGTCGAGAAAATCGAGAAGATAGAAAAAGTAGAAAAGGTTGAAGAGAAAATAGAGCCTAAAGTGGAACAAGAAAGGCCGGTAACAAGAGAATTGACTGCAAAATCCGCGTGTCATGATAGGTCATCGCGCTCGAGTCGCACAACTTGCGTCAATCAAGACTCTTTAGATGACAAAACTGATGACTCACAGGACAAAATACAGACAACAAACAAAGAAAAGGACAAGCGAAAAATGGTGAGTTGAATAAAGAATACACAATTTGTAATTAACATATAAAACATCATTATTCATATCTAACCACAAACCGTCTTTAATTTCAATTTCTATTTTCAGACTCGTGAAGAGCGTAAAATGGAAGCAATAATGAAGGCATTTGAACGAATGGAGAAAGCACAACAGAGAAAGCAAGAAGTGAAAGAGAGACAGAAAAGAAGAGAGTCAGATCCTCATCCAAGCACTGAAAAAGATGACGACGATGATATTCACTGTAATGCCAAGAAACGGAAAAAGTTAGTATTGTAATTTCAATATATGTATAAATAGCCCCTTTAAAGTCGATGATAACTTATTTTTAGTTCCTTTGCTATATTTTCATTAAATAATCCTCAAATTCTCGCAACTGATGAGTTTTTGTGTCTTATTTATGTCAAGGTCAAATGCTTATGACTATGATGTCACATTACCTTTGTATTGTGTTGCCAGATGAAAAATAAAACATTATTCAAGTGTCATATTTTTACTACACTATATTATATTAAATGAAAAGAAATTTTTAAAGACTAATTTAAACCAAAGATAATTTTTAATCTACCAATTTTTTTTTATTTCAGAAGAAAAGGACGTGCGCGCACAGCATCCCAATCAAACAGACGTCGTCTCAATTCAGCTGATAGTGATTTAGTTACGTCGGGGGATGAAGCGCCAACATCCCCGGTCAGGGCTCCGCCGGCTGACCCGGTCCAGACCGGTCACGTGTCTGAAGAACGACACGAACCAGTCAATGAAGTATGTACTCTTTGTTTTTGAGGTTTTAAGTTTATTCGTTATTGTTAGAGATTTTATATTTGTTTGATTTTTGATTCTTAAGAAGTGATTTTTTTATGAACCCAAAATGTAAGTTTTAGTGCTCTTATCAAATTTTTTAAGTCCTGAATATCTATATCTAGTCTTGAATCATAATAGAAATAATTTGATATTTCATGTCATAAATATTTCCATTTTTTGACAGGATCTCGGGCTAAGCTCTGCGTGTTTACTTGTTGAAGCGGCAGTTGGTTCAGTGGAATCGGCATTCAAACTACCTAAAACGAAAAAAACAATGGCAAATGAATGGATTGGACGATCCCCAGAACGAACGCCGTCACCATATCAATCCCCATACAGACCGACGTTGGTATCAGCACCATCTCTAGAAAGCTTAGTTCGTGTCGCCTCCACCATGATAGGCGATTTAAGCGGAAATCAAGAATATCACGACGATCAGAATTCACCCCCTCGAACCCCTGGAAGAGAGAGAAATCGACCCCCAAAGAAAGCGAAGCGTATAACTCGCAGTACAGAAGTAACTAATGAAGTGCCCGAGTCGGTCCCGGTACAGCATAGTGCGAAGAAGCGTTGGTTGAGACAGGCGATCAGTGAAGAAAGTGATTCTCCGATGGCCGGTAGATATTTGTTCTATTAGTAGGTCAACTCCACATTCTTAGAGTTACGCGAATATTTGACATTTTAAATAAAACTTACTAACTTAGACGTCTCAAAGGCTACAGACAGTCTGCAACAAGTATATATTAATACCTTTGCGATGAGTAAAAGCTTAGTCTCTCCCGTGACCATGATTGCTATAAAGTATTCGAGACGTCCAGAATCAAGAATCAAAATAAGTTCGCGAAAAATTCTGAAAGAGCGTTTTTTTTAAAATCCTCATTTCTTAAGTTTTTATTCTCTTGCATTCTTGAGTAACTGCTTAATTAAATGATTTCCAAAAGTATAATTTGAGAAAACATTATGGTATGTGGAGTTGACCTTTCATTATATAATTGATATCAGTTTGCTTATGTCAAGTGTAGATACATTTGTTTCAGAATCTCCGCCTAACGAAATGGTGACACCGTTGAAGAAAAGAAGGATGGCGAGAGAGTCTTTGTCGTGTGAACAGAATATTATTGTACCTGTAAGTTTTACTTAAACCTGGCACTAGATGCCTTACAAATTCTCTTGATATTTTATTGGAAAAGTAAAATCTTTATTATTATTATTATTGAGAATATTTGTATGTGTGTGTATGTTTGTTACTTATTCACTTTAAAACTACTTGATGGATTTGGAGAATTTTTTTATGTACGGATAGACTATAAATAAATAAATATGTTGGGACATTAACACAGCACCATCTAGTTCCACGGTAAGCTACGAGGCTTGTGTTATGGATACCAGATAGTTGATACATATAACTTTAAATACATATTTTAAATAAGTATAACCTGGAGTATATAGACTATTGTTAGGCAATAATAAAGCTATTTTGCCATAAGAATAAACTATTATTTTATAATATTATATATAATAACTATTATTAAATGTTGTCCAGTGCAATGAAGAAACGTCGCCAGTACTAACATCTGAGGACTCGCCAGTGAAAGAAGACGCGTTAGCGCTCGCGCGGCAGTACAAGCGCAACATCATGGAGATGTACAGTCGCGACCGGACGCGCTCTGATAGCGGTCAAGGCTCCGACGACCAGTGCAACATCGACCACGACCTGCTCAATGTTAACATCAAAACACCGTCCTCAGAACATATACGACGCATCATCGGGGTGCCCACCCCTGAAGAGGAACTGCCCCCGGAAATACCTAAGCCACAAGCGACGAACAACAATAACCTGGAATTAGATGAGCACATGTACAACAAAGTGGTGCCGATGGATATTGATACTACCATCATAACGCAGTCCAAGATAGAGTCGAATGAAATTCCAGAAATCAAAGGCCCAGAAAGTCCTAATGATAAAGTTAATAGTTCGCAATCAGCGGACACAAGTGGCAATTCGTCTCCACAACGTGATGAAATGGATGACATACAGAAGACAATACACTCTTTCCATACAGAAAACATATTGATATTGAAGAGCCGAAATAAGAAACCGCCTAAAGAAAAACGGAAGAAGGTCAATTTGAATTTTGATCTTAACATGGTAGATGATCAAATTAGCATCCAACTTCGTACTGAAGATGACACTAACTCTAAATCGCCTGAAATTAACGGTGACATGCACGACGAAACGAATTCTCATGAAGATGTTAAATTGCATGTGTCACCTGAAAATATACCTTTACCACCAGTAGAATCTATACCGCTGCCCGCGCCGGAGACCATACCCTTGCCGGAGGAACCCAGTCCGATACAAATAATACCCTCACCCGAAACGATACCGCTGCCTGAAGAACCTATGAAACCAAAAATTGTTTCTCCTGTAATAGAAAAGGAGGAAATCCCAAACGATAGGCGGCCGCTAATTGATAATATGTTCCCGTTTTCGACACGATTCAACTCGACGGGACTGTTCTCGGGTATATTCAGCAACATGTCCCTAAAAGTGGAATCAATAAATGAGAACATACCAAACATGTCGTTAATAAAAAGTGCAATAGATAGGACTACAAGTTTAGAAAGTGGTTTGTTCGACAAAGACATTAGTCCAGTGGACGATCTGAAAAGTGTACAGGAGATATTGACTCGCGTGAACAATATGGATTCGAATAACAGTGTGCTACTGTCGGGTGTGTTGCGTGGCTCGAGCAAGTGCGCGGGTGCCGGTGCTGTGACGGGTGTGACGAACGCGACCGCCGTCATTAGTATGACGGGTGTGACGGACGTGACGTCAGTGCCGGGAGTGACGGGTGTCGCGAGTGCGGGTGCGAACGTGACGAGTGTGACGAGACCTTATGGTGTCCGTGCGAATGACCCGCGACTCAACCCGCCGCCGCAGGAGAAACCAAAGCCTGTCAGGAGGAAGGTAAGCGACTAAAGTACAGTTGTTTGGTTTTGTGTTATACCTATTTATTTACTTTATATTATTGTGTTTACGTCATTTTAAGTGTTTGTGATACATTTACATCTCATCCATTAATTACAAGAGCGACGGAAGCTCCATGTTAAGTTTTAATGAAACGAAAGTTTTTGTTAATTAATTCGTTTATTGAAATAATCTGTCAAGGTTAAGGTTGGGTTTTTAGATTAACGCTTTTTTAGGTTAATTGTAAAATGAATAAATATACAACAACTTGAATACAATAATAAAATGCAGAACTTGTTTTCTAAAGATGGCAAGGCCTCTCGCGTGACCTTGAATTTACGACAAAATGTAAGCTCTGCTCAGTTTGCTGTCACATAAATGATATTTATTATTTATGACTATACTCCATTTAGATACAAAATTTTCTTGTTTCTATTTTATTTACAATATCGTACATTAAGTAACCTGTGTGCTATTCCAAACTATAATCTATCTCTGTACCAAATTTCATCCAGATCCGTTCAGCCGGTTTGGCATGAAAGAGTGACAAACATCCTCACCAACTTTCACATTTATAATGTTAGATAGTTTTATGATTCAGTTTGTTTGTTTTAATTTAGCTTGTTGTTAAGTTTTAAATTGGATTACTAAAAGAAAAACATGATAATCATGACTCTCAATTTTGGTGTAAACTAGACCAAGGTTTCTGATAAGATACACATATTTGTCAAACGAAAATAAGTTGAGGAATTTATCATGTACATACATTATAATTGAATTTTATTTGCATCATTATTACATCTATATAGATATTTAGTAAAATTATTCTATTTTTGTGAAAAAGTGTACTTGCTTATTTATTTCCTATTTAAAGCAAAATCTTGTTTGATTAGAGAGTTTGGACATTACCTATGTGAAGTTTCTTGTAGGCTTTGAGAAGTTTTGTCAGCCATATTGCGAATGACAATAAAACTATAACACTAATGTTGCCATACTTTATCTAAATTAGTGTGTTAATCTAAATTATATACTTGAGCTTATCAGATTGTATTTCATATAAAAGCATAGATCATGTTTGCTGCTTGTGATCTAAATGGATATAGATATATTCTAATATATTATGTACATATTTAATTAAAATTATGAAAATTTATTAAATAAAAAAATAATGCTTAATACAATGCTAAAAAAGGTAGATAAGATTTTATCTTTTAAATATAATCATAAGTGTAATCAGAAATATTTAATTTGTGGCTCTCGTAGCAATATAATAATGCTCTCCTGAACCGATTTGGGCCACGCCGTCCAATCTCACTGACACTAGCTAGATTCATTGGAGATATTATAGTGCACAAGTATACACAGACACAGTTGCACTCTCTATTTATTTTTTTACTCTCATAGTCCAATGGGACGATATTTCGAACCCACGGCTTTACGTGTTCGCCCAGACACGGGGTTGCGACATCGCCAATTTTCCAACTTCTAATTACTACTACTTAAGAATATCTTAACAGAAAAACTCAGTAACTTGAACCTAGGACCTCCGGATTTGTAGTAGTAAAAGCTAGCCACTAGACCATCGAGGCATTTAATACATATAACTGAAGAGGATGAAAGTGAGTAAGGTAGACTGTACTGCATGAAATTCTAGCAATTTACCTTCGCCAATACGTACTCGAAATCCGTTCAACCATTTCAGCTCGAAGGAGAAAAAACACACACACACACACATACAAGTTGTTTTCGTATTTTTTAATAGACTAGCATTGCCCGAGGCTCCGCCCGCGTTAAGATGACCAAATACCAAATTCTTAGGTTTTACATATTAGTATACTCTTACAATGCAGTTTTTGTATTTTTTCTCAGAAATGAGATATTTTCTCGTGGTAAAAAGTATCCTATATGTTGACCCGGATAACCAGCTATCATCATACCAAATTTCATCAAAATCCCTCCAGTGGTTTTCCTGTGATGCGGTAACAGACAGACAGACAAAAATTCTAAAAACTATAGATTCGGCTTCTGTATCGATAATTATGTCTATTTCAATAAGATTTTCCAAAAAATATTTAATGTACAGATTCGACTTAGTTACAATTTTATTATATGTATAGATTCTAATGCGGCACAGTTTACATTGCTCACCTCGTACACGCGAAACTGTCTATCTACGTGTAAATTGTTTCTTAAATGCGGATAATCCCCCCAGCTCTCTATAACCGAGTACCGCAAGCGTCACAAGAACGCGGGCGGCGGCGATGAGTCGTGCGGCGCGTGCGTGGGCGGCGACGACGGCTGCGAGTGGTCGCGCGGCTCGTCCGCCTCGCTGTCGCCGCAGCGGCTGGACGCGGCCGCGGCGGCGGCGGCCGACGAGCTCGAGCAGAGGCTGCACAGGGACCTAGTCGCGCAGATGCCCAAAGGTTAGTTATAGTATACACAGAGAGGGAGACAGGCGCACACACACACAAGCTAGGCAGAGAGAGAACGGGGCACGTGCACGGTTCCTACGGCGCCACGATTTGAAAGCGTATTCGCATAGATCTCGACGAGATACGCCAAAAAGTAAGAATAATATTTTTCGATATCTCGCTTAGTTTCAGAGATATCGATACTCAAAAATCGAAAAATAAAAAAAATGACGATTTTGATGGTATTTGATATATTTTTGAAAAACAAAACGAAAATTAAGAATAAAATTTTCTATATCGTCGGGCGCCGTAGGAACCGCAGAATCTACGTAGTATACAAACACGTAATTAGACTCTGAGTAACTTTGAACGCGGGATTATAAACTTACGATTTAAAAAAAAAACTACATGTTTGCGCGAGACTCTGAGAGTTCACGTACGCACTGTCCGTTGACATAACCGGCTTTTACCGGCTCGAGCTGTGGACAATTTCAAGCCGAGTATTTCTCGAAGGGAAATGCACACACCGCCGCTTTATGTAATATACAGATCGACATACTTACATTTCCCTTGGATACTAGTGTTAAGCTTGTGATATTTATGAATAAATATTAAATATTATTTTTTGCTTTTATGTGCTTATTTTGAAATACTTGCTTTTTTGTAGCTATTTTTACGTCGGTAGATCGATGCTCTACAGAATTTTTTCAAATAAAAAAAAATCAATCAGTGGACTGATTACAAAACTTTAGAGTCAGATTGGGTATTGCTATAATTAAATAAATCTTAAAAAATTTACATTACCCGTATAATTATAATTAATAATATATGAATAATAAAAAATAAGTAAAGTTTGGCCAACAAAAACAGATTATGCGGCAACATTGTGCAAAATACGTATCTCGCGACACATACGTATATTGGGCCAATATATGTTAATATACTACTAGTTACTACAGTATATTCTTCTGTATAAATACAATGTAAATATAATGAGTTTATAATTATTATTATTTTGAAATTTATTTTTGGATGTAATCACAAAGTTTATAAAGTATATTTAAATCATATTGTTTTTATTATAAATAAATATTATGTAATGAGATATTTACATATTTACTCTAAATTACGAAATTTTACGGCTTGTTTATTTAAATTTATCGCGTCTGGCACAGAGCTCTATATTTATAAGTGATAAGAAGTTGTTATGAAACCCATACCGCTTCATCGTATTTTGATAATTAAGTTTATTTAACCAATGATATATTATCAAAAGTTATATATTAATCGATTTATGTTTATAAATCATAATCATAGTGGCCTATCAGTATTGACACGATTGACATATTGATAATTGACATATTATAAAAAATAACTTTCCAAATATCTATGTATTATTTTAATTTCTTTATATGTTTATACTTTTATATAAAAAGCTATATTTTAAAATTTATGAAATTATGGTAATTAATATATATGATATTATTTCTAGTTAACTGATTTTTTATTAAAAAAAACTAAATTTATTAATTTATTTATATACCTCAAAAAATACATTAAGTATATAATAAATGTTTTAAATTTATATTCTTTTTTAAGTAAATTTATTTATTTATTTAATACAATGGTAACCCTAAAGTAAAGCCTATCCTAACATACGTAAAATAGATAACAATTGTACAGATAAGACGTAGAATAATAATACTGTAACACTGGCAAAGTGACCGGTGTATTATTTGTTCTGCAAATACACTACCTGCTTGAATAATTAATATTAACTTGTTTTTTACGACACCTCGACGATTTACGCTGCTATTTTGATCCTTATCGCGAGTATATAAGAACTAGATATATATAATGTATGTATGTAATATATACAGCGTTTGTTATTAGTGCCAAGTCCACATGCCTTTGCAATGAGCCAGTACTGAATTTTGTACTGTGACAGTAATATATTGTGCTATGTACATATATTATGTGGGTGTATGTATATGTAATGTTATTTAGTGAAGACATTATCGTAAACTCTGAAAACTGCATTAATAATTTATATACACGACACTTTGTTCTGATTTCGACTTTGTACACTATTTATAATTTAGTTTTTTTTTTGTATTTTATGGTGTTTGTTTCCCAATAAATAAAAAGTAAATACTTGTATGGACTACTAATGAAGTTCAATATAAGGTCATAATTAAATGAATTTCTCCATTATTGTGCAGTTCCTTACGTTGTACTCTTTTTTATTTGTTTTGGCCCTATTGAAAGGGAAAACTAGAGTACATATACCTAAGTGTATCCTAACAAATCTTCTCTTCTCTCCACACATTACACAAACAAACAGACAACAAAATAAAAAGGAATATAGCATCAGTTAGTGTTTTTAATCTACTAGAGACTCAACCTCGCTTCGCTCGGGTTCGTCCCTAGCTTTCTTCCCAATACAAACTTTTATCCACATTTTCACTCCCTTAAGGGTTGATTTCCGAGATAAAAAGTATCCTATGTGTATATATCCCTATCCCAGGGTCTCAAACTATCTTCTTACCTAATTTCATCTAAATCGGTTCAGTAACTCACAAACTTTACCTCTTTATAATATTAGTATAGATAAAATAAAACAAAGAAAGATTTCTTTAGTGACTTGTCAACTGATTTGAGAAAGAAAAGGTGTCTAATTTTCTTTCTTGTATTACGCGATGTCTTCATGGGTGTGAACTATGTCCTAAATTGTACAAGCAAACACATATCTAAAATCAGTTTTCATTGTGTTCAAACTTAAATTATTATTAATTAAACCTTTTTTTATATTATAATTTTATTATAAAAGAAAAAAATATATAATGTTTTCTTGTACTAATTAATAGAATTTGTCCAGGCGTGTTCGACGCGCAACCGACGGCGTCGGAGCGGCAACGAGAGAACCTCAGCTCGCGCCTGCGCAGGGAGTTCGGCCTAGCGCTGCCCGACGACGAGGACGCACGCGCTGAGACAGGTACATCCACTGATTTCCAATCACCTCCCACCCCCCAAACACCCCCTAAATCGAAACAACTTTTACCCCCAACATCCCCTACACTTAAAATTACGTAAGTAAATAAGTGTACAGAGACAATGCTTCATACAATCACGACCACACACCAATAATTTATACGACCGCATCAGCGGACCGTTGACAAAACATGTTTTGTCCAGTTAGACTGTCATCAGGCCAGTGCTTTGAAGGAAACACGAACACCGAAGCGTTATGTAATGTTGCATGGTTGTGTGGAGTTTTCTTTCGCCCTAAGTACTTAACATTTGACTCACTAAAAAATAACACTGACTACCTGATACTTTAAAATTTACTTAAAAACAATTTTCTTTTTTTCTCTAAACTCTAAATATTTTTCTTTCCAGACATGGGCGCGAAACGATGCGACAGGTAGAGGATGGCGAAGCTCTGTAGATAAGACATATTTTTGTAAATCTCAAAGCTTGTAATATAACAGTTTTATATCGTCTCGTCTCATCTTGTCTCTTCGCGTCTCATCTCGACACATCTCGTCCCGCGGCCGGCGACGAAGGGCTCATCAGTTTTATTTTGACGGTTTATCTGCAAGTACAAATTGTTTTTTATTCTCCTTGTACATAATGTATATAGCAGAGTCTAAGGTACGTATAATGGTATATGAAAGATTTTTATATATGTATCTTATATGTTTATTTATGATGTCATATAGAAATTTTGTACGCGTAGTATATAAGTAAATTATAGTTGTTTTTATTAATTTGTTTTAAGTTTTTTTTTTTCAAAGGGTCCCAGAACCCGATAGGTGTCTAGGATAGTTTTAGGCGTTTCTGGTGTAATTAGGATCGGTAGATTATATTATAGTGAGCCATTTTTAGATGTCATAATGAAAACGTCACATCACAAGGCAAAGGTCAACTGGGGGTTTTGGATTTTGTATGTCGATTTTGGATTTCATATACATTTAATAATATAAAGATATTAGTACTTGTCCATCGCAAAGGATGGCGCTTTGTCTGAATGGTAGCGAAGTCCTCAATCGAAAGGCCCAATGTGTACTAAATAAATAGATTAAATACGTTTTTGCATTAATAATATATGAAATGATACACACTGATGTATTATAGACTCTTAATTCTTTTGATGATGGTCTGGTTTGCAATAACCTGGTTATGTGCAGTGTTGTATCCTTTTACACTCAACAATTGATCTTCCACAATTGTTTACGCCATTTTGGAATTATCACTCGTATTTGTAATATTTATTTTGATTTTTTTTTGATTTTGTACATTTATGTGTTGTCATAATTTATTGAGGGTTTTTTTATTGTGCCGGTAACACCTCGTGTTTAGGACGAAAGCTAATTTTATGTATTATACACTGTGTGGTAATATGAAATGATAAATATAAAAAATATATATATTTGATAAGGATACATGTATATTCTTATCTATGTTAGATTTAACAAAAATAAACATCTTTACCTAAATAATATTAAAATTAATAATTAAAATGGCGTAAACGATAAATTTGCGGTCAACTGTACCTGACTCGGAAACAACGAATATTTGTTGTGAAAACTTCGGGCTAACGTCCCAAGCAGGGTTACCAACTTGCAAGGAAAGTGAGATAGAACATTCTTGTACAAATTCAAACTTTTTAGACATATTTAGTGCAATCTATTTCAAAATATACTAAATAGCGTAGTTTCCGATGGACATTAGCATAATAATTAGTAGACGTATCCGATTTTATCTCTGATTTCCAAAAGTTGGCAACCCTAGTCCCAGTGATTTGCGGAAGGACTTGCAAAATATTCTGTTTGTTATTTTTTAATATTTTTCATATTATCTGCTAATACAGTATGGCCTACGGTCTTATGGCGTAGTCGTTCAAGTATAATTGGAAATCATTTAATGATACGTTTGCTCTTTAGGATTGCGAATTTTCATGTTTATGGTGTTTTTTTTTTTTAATTTCTTTGCATTACTAATTAATTATATATTTAAATGGGAAAATAGTAAATTATCTTATAGTAAATGTCAATATTCTATGAGAACTCGTAGTGAGACTACGCAATTAGCCCAGTGTGCGATATTCCATCCTAAAAGTTGCTCAAAATGTCTCCGAAAGATTCAACTTTTCTACCTTATTTTAAATCTCTGTTTGAATTATAAATATGGAACAATAAAATTAAGAAAATTAAAAGTATTTGTACGAATGTAAATCTTCGTATACAGAATTTTTTGTAAGTAATTTTTTTTAATAAATCGTAAAAAGTTAGGGTCAGGGTAATAAATCTCAATTAAACGATCAGGCAACAGACTAAATAAAATATTTTGTCTATTGTTTGACAACTATCCGAACGTAAGTCATATCAATGAAAGGTCAAAATTACACACAAATATAGACAGAGTACAGTTTTGCTTTGTGCTGAAATTTATATATCACTTTTTGGGATGGCCTTGAAATTACCGCCTAAATTATTTAATAAGTAGGCTGAGCCATATACGAAATTTGTGTTCATTTCGATACTTAATTTTATTTTGTGATGCAATTTAGTTGTCACTTGGTGATATATCTTTATCTTCCAGATACTCTCTGATTTTATTTTTCCAAGTGCGAGTATCGCACAGCAGTATATTGTCACGTATTAGGAACATTAATGTCTCGTCACCATCGATCATAAAAGTACTAGATAAACTATCGGCGACAAAAAATGTCTTCACCGAATGAGCGCTCATTTGAACATTTGAGCGCGCTTTTTATTTAATCTTTTTTTCTTTGTAAAATCAACTTTAAGCATTGCATTTAAGGTTCACTTTACATTGTTCTATGTTTATTTCAACTAGAATAACTACCTAAACACAATTGGTGACAGTTTTAAGAGAACTTTTGCATGGGATTGTGTATCTAGTACTATCTTGATCGAAGCTCGTTACATACAAATGTACATACAATAAAATAAATTTTATTTTATCCCTGTTGAGTGATAAATTTCACGTATATTTCATATTTTATTTAAGTGAATGAGTGAGTGAGTTTTATTTTAAAATAATGTTTGATTATTTTTTAAGTTATAATAATAATAATAATTTGCACTTGACACTTCTCGACGCAAATTTCTTTTAAAAAATTGTGTTCTTTTTGCCAAACGTGACAATATTTGGAATACTTAATAAATAATTAATAAATTTTCTACTTATTCAACGCGAACACCTCGATTCAGCATAATTTTTAACAGCTTAGTTGTAGTCAACTGTTGCAATAATTCGCCTAAAGGCAAATCATGTAGGGGTTAGAATGTATTGAATAAACAAACATGCGAAACAATAAGCAGCTTTTTTTTAATTTAATTTAATTCGTGATTTTATATTTTTGTATAGAAGAGGATTGTATGGTGAATATTTGAATCCTATTTTTTTAGTATTCGGTGCGTCGCGACTGGTGTCGTGCACATGTAAATATCTCTGGTTGTTGAATAGAATTGTAAATTGATCGCTTTGTCTTAATGTTAAAGTGCATTTTGCTGTAGCAATAATAATAATAAATATAAGTTCTCCTTTCTGAACTGGCAACATCGTACACGTGGTGTTGCCGCGTAAAAAAATAACTTTTTTTTAAATATTAGTGTCATATTATAACAAAATAATAATATATTGTGTAATTAATTATTATGTGTTAATTCATAATTGTATGTTTACGATTGGTTTTTTTTTATTATTATATTAAATATCGAGTTTCGAGTGAATATATAACAGCACAATGCGCTATAACGTATGAAATCTTGGTAGTTTATTAGAGAAAAAAATCTTTGTGATAACTTTTAAAATATCATTCAGTAGAAACAGTGTATTGTAAATATTATAATAATAATTATTAATGGTAAGTGATACAGCTGCATATATTTTGTTATGGTGAAAAATGCACGTTTACTATCGTTTCGCCTTCTACCGGACGCGGGCTTGTGTGCACTGAAGTTCTAAAGCGTATTATAAAATATAATATATTAAATACATTTAGTAACGTTTTTGATATATTTTAAGTTTATATTTTGATTTATATCAAAAATATCTTTGAGAGAAAATGTGTAGTATTATTTTAGAATATATTTATTTCGATGTATACAAGCCGGCGTCCAGGAGCTGCTCGCTCAGTGTATCTCCCACCTGCTTCCGATTGGTTTTCTGTAATGTATTCGTAACAATGGAATATTTTGCAATAAAAATTATATAATTTTAACTCTTTAAGTGGATCGTAAATAAAACTGTATATTATCCAGATGTTAAATATTATTATTTCTTTCTTAATGTTTGAAGTAAGCATGTAAAATTTAAAATAATAATATAGAATAAAAGATGTTATGATAATTAATTACATAAAATCTTCGTTTGAATGTAATGCCTTTCCTTTTTCCCTCTCTGCGGTATCGCTACTCGGATAACAATGATTGTAAAAAAATGTCTATTTGTGTATACCTATAATATATTCCTAAATTTTTGTTCTAATACAAGACAAATTAATATTTACAATTGGGTTTGATCCGCGGTTTCGCTTTCGTGGAGTCCCCGTCGTCCCCATATCAGCGGTATACATACAAGTGGTTATGTGGGACTCATCGGTTAGTATCCCTGTTGAAAAACTCCAATAGAATCTCATCAAAAGCCACATAGAAACCAATAAATATATATCTATGTGGCTTTAATCGCTTTTGATGGGATCCTATTGGAGTTTTTAAATAGGGATAGGCATTACTGGTGTTTCCACCCAGCAGTTAAAAATGTTAGAAATATTATATATTCATGTAAATAATAAAAAAAAATATATCAAAGCTGAGATTGTCATTTAAATATAAATATAACGTCTTCTCGCGCTATTCACAAAGTTGCTGTCTAGACGCCTTTAGGCAACTGTTTAAAATGTAGGTTGTGCCTTGACGATGGGGAATACGATCTGGCTGATGAAACCATGACCTAAATAGTAGATACCTAAGCCATTAACATTGGGAAAGTTACTCGATAGAAGTTTCGAGTAAATAATATAGACTGATCATAAATAAGAACATTAATCGATTTAATTATACTTACATGCTAAGCAGATGATGAATCGAATGAGAACGATGTGCGTATTTACTCACGAGAACGGCAACGAAGCTTCTCAAATATAAATGAAACACATTATCATAAAATAACTAAGTTTATTTCTTACACAAGTATATACAAAATATTATAATTAATAGTCGTTTAAGCTCTACGCTTATTCTTTTACGGCTAACAGTAATTACCAATTAAAATTAGCTCACCAGAGATTGATATTTTGATATAATTTCTTTAAATCTTTATTTAAAATGTCTATTTCCAGTAGCTTACATCAGCGGCTCCCAAATGGTGGTCCGCGGTACCCAAGGGTTCCATAGAATGGTCACAGAGGTTCCGAGTTCCGTCCGAGAGTTAAATAAAACATTGTCTGATTTGAAGCCGTAATATTATTGCTATTACCAATAAATAATAAATATGGGAAAAAAAATTAATTTTCATTTATGATTTGTTCTTTCAAGTCAAACAAGAAAATATTCTTACTACAACACAGTCAGTTTAGTTATTATCAAAATGGGAATTCTTTAAAAAATTCTATCAATTGGGGTCCCGTGACCAAAAAAATTGGGGACCGCAGGCTTAACCAATTCAAATATAGGTAATTAGTAATTACGTTTAGCCGTAAATCGTGCTGTGACGAGGTGAATTCAGTAGCAAGTACACAATTATATCGTAACAGTTTTATTGATTGTAATTCGAAATAGTATATGAATTGTTTTACGTAAATATATTTTGTCGATATAAAATGTACATCCAGTTATAAGGTAATTAGAACAAAACTATTTTTTGTACGCTAAACGTATCACGTTAGAACGTAATTTCAAAGCAAAATGCATCAAATCTACTTTTCCCGAAAACCCCATAAAATGGGTTAATATTTTCATATATTATAATATTTATGATTATTTCTTTGGCACGCTCTATAGCTTAAACGCCTTCACCTCAATTTTATGAGTAAAATAATTATTTTAACATCGCGTCTATGAATAAAACATTATACTGTTATAATTACAACATGGATGTTAAAAGATATTTTAGGAAATAACCAATTTAAAAGATAAACACAGCACTTTTAATTTTTACACAAATAACAAAAAATATGCTTACGTAGAGTTCATGTAAAACTAAAATGCACCTATTTTTATTATCAAAATCTCGGCTGGCATGAAGTGCACACAAAACAACTACATAAACATATTGGACTAGCGACTCACTCTCGCTTCGCTCGGGTTCGTCCCTAGCTTGATTCCCCGTACAAACTTTTATCCCCATTTCCACCCTCTAAAGAGATAATTTCCGGGATAAAAAGTATTATTTGTCCTTCTCAGGTTCTCGAACCATTTTTTACCGAATTTCATCTAAATCGGTTCAGTAGATCCAGAGATTACCCCCTACAACCGACAACGTCACAAACTTTACATCTTTATAATATTAGTATATAGATAAAATAACGCAGTCAAGGGGTCAACAAAACTCAAGCCCATTTAAGTTTTGCGCAATGCATTTTTTTTTTTTTGTTAATATTTTTTAAATAAATGTTTTAGTTTTGAACACTCACTGAAATCATACATTTCCATCCAAATATTTTACTTGTCATATGTTCTAATGTACTTTATAAAAGTACTGTTTTATTGTTGTTTGCATCTAACTTCTTTTATACCTTTACTGTTACAAAATACGAAAAACATTAGTAAACCCCGCATGACTTTATTTGTTATTAAAATCATCTGTACATCTACACACAAGAATAAGAACGCTATTTTGACGAAATTTGCTTAATAAATAATATATTTAATGCCTGCTGTTAAATTATATTTTTGTACTTATTTTGGCACTCATATTAGGTTTATATTTCTTTTAATATATTTTTTATTTATTCATAAAAATATTACATCATCAAGTTATACTTACACGTCCCAGGAGGAACGATAAGAGCGAGCAAACCGACGCAATATCCAAATGTATATAGCGACATATAATTTGAAGTTAGCACCTTTAGAAATAAAATGAAGCAGATATTTAGATTTATTTTTGACAACAATAATAATTTCTATAACAATTCAAGAAATATTATTATGTTATATAACAAAAAGCAAACAAACAACAGTAATGAGTAAATAAAATAAACAATGATAAACATTAAAAATAACAAATTTCTATTAAGTCTTTATACGATTTCCAGTTTGATCTCATTTAAAAGTAATATTTTAAGACAAATTAGAAATCTGCTATAAAATCATAATGTTGCCAGACAACAAAATATGGAGGTGGCGTTTATTATTTTAATTAACTAAATATAATAACATACAGATATGTTATTTATTTTATAAAATCAGTTTGTCAAGCATCGGGTGCACTTGACTAGGTACATTCATTTATCACAGCCGAAACTTACAATGAGACGCCCAAGTCTTCTCCATTCTTCTCCATAACTACTCTTATATTTACATACTTGTAAATAACTACAAATAACTCAACACTATAATATATTGAAATAAACATGTAATCTTCACTATTTTTAACTTAAGAATAAAATTAAATTTATATAACATGTTGCATTTGCTTTATTTTATAACAATATTTTTGATTTAAGTATGGAATGTATATGAATTTACATAATTTCATATATTCTAATAGGACTCTAAGTAGCTGCTGTGACGGTGGAGAAACAAATAGGTAATATAATGCAAGGTTACACAAACTTATAGTATACATATATTATAAGTTTTTTTAGTAGATCCCCCATTTTAGTAGATCACTGTAAACCCTAGGTGTTGGGGTTCTTAAACACCAATCAAAACCATTTTACTTTTAATGTTGTGAGTAAAATAGTTTTGACAAATTATATATAGAATATAAATATATATGTTTTTAATAAGTAATTCTTGTAGTGAACCCCTAATGATTGTAGGCTAGGGTTTGGTGTACCCCACTTTGAAAAACCCTGGCTTTATACAATAAATATCTTTCCATAGGCATTATAGTACTTTTTTTAATTATAAGTAATTATGATTTTATCGTAGAAAAATACATATCAAATATATCGCTTATTATAGTTTGTTTCAGATATATTTTTAATCAGCGTAATTTCTTTTTATTATTAGTATTTAAAATATATTTATTATTTTATAATAAAATTCGTCCTGACCAGTACCTGTATTCATCTGACTGACCCTGTCATAAACTTTAAAGTATGTTTTGAAATAAAATATTTCAAAAATCAAAAGCTATACATTGTTATCGTTGATATCTAATTACTTAATTTTTTTAAGTTAAAAAAAAGTTATTTTGAAAAAATTGACAATTTATCGCAGTTTATATCTCTAAGGATTTAAGAATTGTCCACGAAATAGAAACCTTTTAAAAGTAAAAACCGATAAAGACAACAACCGACTAAGTTTATAAATTACCTCATTTATATAAAAACACTAAAACTTTACCGTGAAACATGCCAACTTTGCCTCTAGATGTATCTTTGCCCAAAATACAATTTACAAGAAAATCCGTTTCTGTAGAAAAGTATCCTTGCATTATGGCAACATTGATAACTTTAGTAGAAAATAGGTTTTACATGTGACATCACTGAGTATCGCGTTTTTAGTCAGTTTCGTACAGTGTCGTGTTGCGACTCGTTGAGTGTGGTGCGTAGTTTTGCGGGCAAAATTTTGGAGACATTTTAAAGTGAATTTCGACTCATGGCGAAAACAAAGGTTAGTTTGCATAATTGTATATTAAAGGAAAAGAATTGCAGAGTATTTTAATTATAGTTCGATAATGAAGATATATTACAAAACGAAAGTTATGATGATGGGCAAAGTTACCTAGTATTGTTTCGACTTAAGAATGACAACTTTGCCCGAGTTCGAAAAAGCCTTAGGGTTGTCGCTTACACTTGAGTAGAGTTTTGGTATGATTGTGCGAGTTTTTCGTGTATTTACGTAAGTTTGTACTTTAGCAGTATCATCGTAGCTTTTGTTTTACTGTATACATATAAAAATTGTTATTGAATAAATAAATTTCATTTCAATTTCAATGGAAGCTAGCTATTATTATGTTATTCAAAATATTATAAATTTTATTTCATTCAATTTATTATTTTAAATTTCAGAAAAACAAACACAAATCTCGAATCCAAGAAAGAAAGTCGAGACGTATAATAGGTTCTAGAATGTACAAAAATTACTCCGAAGAAATGCTGAAAATAGCATGCGAAGTAGTTGATTCAAAAAAAATTACTTCCAGAGATGCTGAACGACAATTTGGTATTCCAAGACGAACGATAATGAACAAAATAAAAAAAAAACATATAAAGTCTGTTGGACATCCTACCGTTTTAACTGCTGAAGAAGAGAAAAATATTTTAAGAGTTTTACAAGTTTCTGCGGAGTATGGATCTCCGCTTACTAAAGTGGACCTAAAGCTATTAGTTCACGATTATATGAAAAAAAATTCTCAAGACCACAAATTTAAGAATAAAATTCCCGGTGATGCATGGGTCCAAGGCTTTTTGGCAAGGCATAGTGATGAATTAACCTTGAGAACTACTCAAAATATTTCAAAGGCAAGAGCTGCAAAAGGAGCTCAAGAAATATCAGAATATTTTGAAAATTTAAGCACAACGTTAAAACACATACCAGCAGAAAATATAATCAATTTCGATGAAACAAACCTGTCGGACGATCCAGGTTCTTCCAAGTGCATTTTTCGGAGGGGAGTAAAGTATCCGGAAAGAACTGTCAATTCCACCAAAGGAAACATATCTCTTATGTTTACCGCCACCGCGAGCGGTAAATGTTTGCCTTTGTATGTTGTCTACAAAGCAATAAACCTGTACAGCGAATGGACCAGTGGAGGGCCGCCAGGAACCAGGTACAATTGTACGAAATCAGGGTGGTTTGACAGCGCCATGTTTGAAGATTATTTTGAAAAAATAATACTTCCATGGGCGCAAGAGACACCTGGTACTAAAGTAGTAATTTGTGATAACCTGTCAAGTCATTTAAACGTTAAAGTTGTGGAGATGTGTGAGCAAAATAGAATCAACTTGGTATTTATCCCTCCGAGATCAACACACCTCACCCAGCCCCTTGATGTGGCATTTTTTGCGCCTTTGAAAAAAGCCTGGCGTAAAATTTTATATCAATACAAGCTTAGGAACCCAAACCAAATAACATTAAACAAAAAACACTTTCCTAAATTGCTTAATGAGTTAATTGAATCCATTAAACTGAAGGAGGCAAAGAACTTAAAAAGTGGATTTAAAGCATCAGGAATATATCCAATTAATCCACGAGAAGTTCTAAAAAAGATACCAGACATGCAAGAAGAAATATTATCATATGGAATAGATCAAACACTGATCGATTACTTGAAGGAAACGAGAGCATCAAAGCCAATGCAAGTAAAAAGAAATAAAAAAATTCATTGCGAGCCGGGAAAATCTGTGTCTGTTTCTGATTTCAATATTGAGTTTAGCAAAGATGCACTCATAAGTAGCACGAAACAGAAAATTAAACCAAAAAAGAAATTCTCTGGCGTGGCAAAAGTGAATAGAAAAAACGAGACAGCCGTGGTTTTGGATGAACAAACTGGCATGTTTATTGAAACTGATCCAAATAATGATATAACAAAAAGGTGTGAAGGCTTCTATTTGGAAAACAATTTTAGTAATTCTGATAATCAGCATAGTTTCACTCCTGAGAGTCTCAGCAAAATTTGTATAAATTTGATTAATTTTAATTTAGGTAAATCAAAACCAAAAGTAACAACATCGTCGCAAAATTATTCATTCTTGAAAGCTTCCTCCAGTATCAGCAATAAATACTCTCAAAGATCCTTGAAAAATGGTCATAATAAAATAAATATACTATCCAATGTGATCATTAAACCAGCAACGCAAACATCAGATGTCCGTACTTTAAATGAAATTTCGAATAAAATTGAAAATATTTCGTTTACGGCCACACTTAAAAGTGAATTACCAGAATGCCTGCAAGAGAATAAAAATGTAAGAATAAGGAAGAAAGTTAATAGAAAAGACAATGTAAAAAAGAATTCAAAAACAAAAAAAACAGCTAGAAACTGTACTTCAGTAAAAAAAAGAAGGAAGAATCAATCATATAGTGACTCAAGCTCGATATCAACGGATACTGAAGTAGTTACAATCGACACAGATAATTCAGACTATGAAACAGTGCAGGATTATTACATAGCCGAATGTTTAAGGGAACAAGAAGAAGAAAAAGAAAATTTTGAATTAGATTATGTCCCATTTGGTCTACATGATATTGAATACTGCACTGAAAACCAAAAGATATTAAAAGAAAGTGATTGGATTATAGCTCGGTTCAGTACAAAAAAGAGTATTAAACATTTTGTTGGTAAGGTTTTACATGATAATGATTCAAAACTTACAGTTAAGTTTGTTCGAAAAGTTAAAGAATCTACATTTATAAAGGGAACCACTTTTACATATCCAATAATTGATGACATTTGCACCATCCAACATTTAGATGATATTATCACAGTATTGCCTGAGCCCGAAATAACTCGGCGTGGCCATATCATATTTTATTTCGATTTTAGTAATTATAACATACAATAAAGTGCAATAAATCAAGAACTATAATTGAAACAGCGTGATTTTTAGATTTAGAAAAAATGTCTGATTTCCAAAGATTAATTTAATTAAAATAAGAAACGTTTTCTTTTACATTGGAACTTGATTTTTTATAAATGCAAAATATTCTTGTTATTTGCGAATTTCGAATTACTTAATAAAATAGAAACTAAATTTATTCAAATTATTTTCAAAATGGCCTACTGAAATTATCGTACCAGTATATACTCGTACTTACCTTTAGTTCTTCACTGATTAAAAGAAAAATAAACATGTTTATCACTATTTTTAAGTTTTTATTGCCTCGTTTTGTACGTTGATTGATCTCAATATTGGTGTTTATAACATAATTTATTAATATTTCAGCCCTTTGTTAATTTTTTAATATCTTTAAGGAAAAAATAAACATTCTACTTAAAACTCTGTTTTATTTAATATGTTTAATTCCTGTAACTCCTTAAAACTATTTGCTCAAATGTGACAGCCCTATCATATTTATATCACAATTTTTGTCTAGTATGGGAAAGAGAAAAAATGATAGGGTAACATTGCCAACTAGTTTCAAGCGAAAAGTTGCATTGGTATCGGCAAGACTTTAAAATTCAACGCCTTCATTGCCCTAATCCTTTAACTAGTTCCTCTATCATTGGCATAGAGGCTAAATTTTCATCAAAAAACCACGTGGGTAATGTTGGCTAAAAGTCTAGATAACTTTGCCCGCTATCGACATCAATGAAATGTTCGAATAAATGTCGACTTTTAAAAAAAATACTTAGCCAATCTATGCACATGATGCCAGAGTTGCATCAAATAAAAAAAATACCTAGGCACCTGTAGAAAAAACATAAGATATTTCATTTTTTTTAAAAAAAGCGGGCAAAGTTGGCATATTTCACGGTAAGATTATAATTAATTAAGTTGCGTTAATTATTAATGTCCGACGCAGCTATAACCGAAACTTCTTTCTAAGAATTCATTGGTTTTAAACATGTGTATGTTTTCACAGAAGTTGTTACTTAACAAATTAATAATATTTTAATTAATCAAACAACTATCAATATGTCATTATAAATATTTCATATACGATGAAGCTAGGTTTGTATCTTCTATTCTCACTCAGCAACTAAACTCCTCACTATTCCGATCGTTCCCGAAGATACACGAACGCTCACGAAGATAAACGGTTTCTTCAAAGTCGAACACTTATATCATACATCAGTTTGGCGCGAGATGACGTTAAAAATGATAGTTCACATCACTAATTAGAATGTGTGTACACTATAATTCATGATCACTACACTGTGGCTCGTGGCGTGTGGCGTGTGGCTCGTGGCGCGTGGCCCGCTAGTGCGCGGGGCGCCAGCGCGCGTCGGGCTCGCGCTTGACGCGGCAGTCGAGGCAGGGCTGGAAGTTGACGTGTATGGTGACGGGGTGCAGCGCGGCGAGCGGGCGCTCCTCCAGCGCGCCCAGCTGCCGCGCCACGCACGCGTACTCCACGCTCAGCGGCACGTAGTACTTACCTGTAGGAATGGTATAATAATTCCTATATTGGCGTAAATACAAAAGGGTTACAAGACATTTTTTTTAAACTATATAATTAGTACAATCTTTGTTTAAATATACTAACGTCTGACTCAACTAGGCCGAGCCTGTGCCGGTATGTGATTATAATTGATGTCATGGTGGATTATTCATATTAGTAAATAATTTTTATAATTTTTATGTACTTTCTGGGTTTTATTTAAATCTATACTAATATACTATAATATTATAAAGAGGTAAAGTTTGTGTGTTTGTGAGTTTGTGACGTTGTAGAGGGTAATCTCTGGATCTATTGAACCGATTTAGATGAAATATGGTAAGAAGATAGTTTGAGACCCTGGGAAGGACATAGGATACTTTTTATCCCGGAAACATCCCTTAAGGGGGTGAAAATGGGGATGAAAGTTTGTATGGGTAACCAAGCTTGGGATGAGCCCGAGCGAAGCGAGTGTGATTCGCTAGTAATTGATGTCGTGATGGAATATTTTATGTTATAATAATTTATTCGTATTTAGTAAATATTTTCATTATGTACTTTCTAGGTTTACTTTAAATCTAAAAATAAAAAAGGAAAATCTGAAGTGTACCGTCGAAAATGTTACAATCCATACATCATATTTTTTTTAGCCCCCAAACAAAATATAGTATAACGTTACTAAAAAACGTAAAAAAAAATAACAAACCTCACGGAAACCACTTCACGTGCCGAAATAAAAACCTTATTCTCGCTGAATTATTTGCATATATTATAATCATATCAATTCCTGCTTAAAAATAGGACAAATCAACATACATAAACGCTCTAAATAGTACCAGTTATTACCTATATTCTATATAAATATGTATGTAGTGTAGTATTACCGAGCGCGTTGAGCGCGAACACGGGCACGTACTGCGCGGGCGGCTTGTCGTACTGGTGCTGGTGCGGCGACGACCTCGACAGCTCCTGCGCGGACAGACACGTCAAATATTATTATATATATTATTATATATTATGTAGGTAGCCCAGTGGTAACGCATTCGCTTGGGAAATCGATTGAAGCGAGTTCAAATCCCGTGTCTCGCATCTCTGATATTGTCATGTGCGAATCATTTTGTACACACAATAATTTTTTTTATATTGTCAATTTTTTTCTAAAAAGCCATTAAAGCCACTCATTTCAGATTAGCCAGATACGCAGAAGATTATAGTGCAGACACAACGTGCACTCTATTCTATGATGATATTTCAACACTTGAGGTGAGAGATCAGATCACAGACACGTGAGAGCCGAAGTACGGAGGTATAACAACGCTAACTTCACAACTCCGGGCTACTATTGAGAATATTTTAAATAAAACTATCTTTTCAGATTATTTCGTGGATTTATTATATTATAGATTTCAGATTATTTTTGGTTCCCGACGTTTCGAATGTTTTACAGCAAACATGGTCACTGGAGAGACTAAGGTTTTAGGCGTCTCAAAGGCGTTATATATTCATTACAAACAGCTCCTACCTACAAAATGCTTTCAAAAATTCAAAAATGGCATCAAAATATTTTAAAATATAACGCCGTGATCATGATTGCTGTAAAGCATTCGAAACGTCGTGAACCAAAAATCTAAATAAATCTGTGAAATAATGCAAAAAGACCGCACCTCCATGGAATTCGAAGCGGAGGTGGAGTTTCACATAAGGGCCGGCGCTGACTGACGTCATGTCACGGTAAAGGATTTTATTTCTAAACATTTTCTTTTTATTCTTATCTCAATGAGGTTAGAATTCATATTACTTTATTTCGACACAATATATACCGTGGTACGTCGTGGCAAGACGCGGGTCATACCAAATACATCGAGCTGCCTAAACATGCCCAGTCATGCCATGCCGCGACGTCAGTGAGCACAGGCCCTAAGAGGTGAATACAGGTACCAGATCGTATTATTGGATATAAAAATTGTAAAATATGGTTATTTTATGTATATTTTAAGTTATTACGTATTTTTATAGATTTTTTTATTTCATCACAGACTATTTCTCAACAGTTTTGTGAATTTGTATTTTGTATAATAAAAAATTGATTTGGTATAATATGAGTGACACAGCGGTATAAAATAAGTTGGCTCTACTGGCAGCCCTGGGTGTATATGCTAAATATTACCTGTGGCGAGGTGTCCCGTGCCTCCTCCGTGGAGCCCGAGGCAGAGTTGGAGGCAGAGTTGGAGGCGGAGTTGGAGTTGGAGGTAGAGGTAGAAGTGGAGGCGGACATGGAGGCGGGCTTGGCGGCGCGCCGGCGCTTGTGCGAGTACGCCTTGTGCGGCGCGCCCGATCGCGGGTCTGCCACCTGCCGGGAAAAGGTTCAAATAAATACATATATTTCAGAACTAGCGACTCACCCTCGCTTCGCTCGGATACGTCCCTAGCTTGCTTACCAATACAAAAATTCATCCCCCTATTTTCACCCCCTTAAGGAATGATTTCCGGGATAAAAAATACCCTATGGCATCCCAGGGTCTCAAACTATCTTCTTATCAAATTTCATCTAAATCGGATTAGGGACGAACCCGAGCGAAGCGAGGGTGAGTCGCTAGTTTTTTTTATAAAATAAAATAATTGAACAGGTTTTGGCTAGGCGTTTACTGATATTCAAGACATTCCAATGCTTTTATACACAAACTGTAAAAATATTTACTTACTCCACAGTACCACAAACACTCAGCTTATTTAGACAACAATAATGATAATATAAAAGTTCATATTTATTAATGTAAATCACTGAGGCTGTGCTTGCCCAGTGGTAACGCGCTCGCTTGAGAAACTGGGTGAAGCGGGTTCAACCTCTGATATTTTCATGAGCGAATCACTCCCAACATGATTACTACTTGTCTTACGGTAAAGGATCGTGAGAAAACCTGCATGTCTGAGATAACCTAGCAAGTTATCAAAAGACATATGAAGTCCGCCAACCCGCACTTGGCCAGCGTGGGCTATGACCTTATCCACGTCATATTGAGGCCGGTGCCAAGCATTGGGACGTAAAAAGGACTGAATACAATGTAAATTAGTAAATTAAGTATTTACCTCTGAGTCCTGTGACCTGGAGAACCTTCTTTCAATGGAGTTTTTAAACTTGTAGGAGTGTAGATAGTCGTCGCCGTGCTCGGGCTTGCGCACTTTACGCAGCGCGTCGCGCGAGACACGTGCGTCTGTCTCTTCACCTGCCGCGCATTGCAAAGCCATAGACACTGAAAAAATTATGAAAACACTATAAACATACATTAAATATGTCAATTTTGAACTATCTAGTTAAAACTTTTAGTTATTTACTAAAAGAAAATAAATATCTGGCTCAAGTCATATTATAATTATAATACTAGTTGTTAGATTTTGATGTTTAGTTTTGTTGTGTAGAGTTGTTTAGATTAGAAATTTCGAATCGAATGGATTGGATTCGAATATACTAAATGTATGTTTTAAGTTATACATGAATGTTTTAATAATGGTATCATTGAAAAGTAAACCTGTCACTACAACACACAGTACATAGTGAAAAAAAATCCCTCCCAAAAAAAATGCTAGATATTAAAAGTAAGCACACACAAATTTAGCTACCTTAGAAGTCCCTAACCAATAGTGCCACTTATAATTTTTTTATATGTGATACTATTGTAACTTACACAATAACCAATCAATAATCAATATCTAGAAGTGGAACAGTGGAACGTCAAAAATATACTAATATTATAAAGAGGTAAAGTTTGTGAGTTTATGACGTTGTAGGCGGGTAATTTCTGGATCTACTGCAGCGATTTATATGAAATGTGGTAAGAAGATAGTTTGAGACCCTGGTAAGCACATAGGATACTTTTTTATCCAGAAAATCATCCCTTAAGGGGGTGAAAATGGGGATGAAAATTTGTATTGGGAAGCAAGCTAGGGACGAGCGAAATCAATAAATAAATGAAAAAACCCATACAAAACAATCAATATCTAAATAAAAAAAAACCATTCAAAAGGAGCATACTTCTATCACATTCCATAGAATAAGGCTCGACTGGGCGTTCCTCGTAGGGCTCCGAGAAGGCCGGCGGTGGCTCAGGCCGTTGTATCACCTTCACCGCGAACCCGTGCGAGCTGCTGGACGAGCTTGCGGTCTCTGATGATGACCCGATGTGGGACCGCGGCTTCTCTCGATTTCCTGGCTCTACTGTGAACATTAAGAGAATTTGACATTAGTTAAACTATATATTATATGTATTTAAATCTATACAGATAAATAAAATTGAAGTGTCTGTTTGTAATGTCAAAATAATAGCGTTTTACTAAATGCATATGAAATTATAGATGGTACTTATAAGAAAACACATTTTTTAATTTTTTGTGTGTTTCTGTTTGTTCCGGAAAATCTCTGAAACGGATAGACTGATTTTGACGGGACTTTCACTGGAAGATAGCTGATGTTATAGGGAATAGCATATCAGGCTATTTTTTTTAATAAAAAGAATAAGAATTAGTGTTCCGCTTAAAAAAAATAAAAAGTACCGAGAGACGAACCCAAGTGAATCAAGGTTGTAATAAAAACTTATTTAATTTTAATATTACTTTATTTGTTTCTATAGTATTATAAATAACTAGCGATTTAGCTGGATTGGACGTTTTGGTTAGCCTATGTTACTCCATGTTAGTCTATCTGTATACTAAACATTCAAATCCGTCGTTTCAGGAATAACACACATACATACTCACACAAACTTATAAAACTATGGTAGTTAACATAAAGTAAACCAACCTTTAGTAACTACTTCACAGTGCCTCTGCAAATGCGAGGCCATCTGCACGCACAGCCCATCTCCCGGGCCGAAGCCCTGCACTTCCACCAAGAATCTGAGCGCCTCCGCCACAGCCTCCTGGTACCCACTCCGGAATTCCGCCCCGTGACGCTCCGCTAGAACACCCACGAGATGCTACACGTCTTCTTCCGAAAACATCGCCTTCAGTGCTTTGATTGTTCGCTTTTCTCGCTTTTATTGACTTTTTTGCTACTTTTTTATGGACAAGGTTTTGTTCCGTTTCGATTTTTGTATGACATACTATGTCTTTGATATTAATTACCTTTTTATGTTTGAAGATAGTTAAATAAAATCCTTCGTTTCATAATTTATCAAATATCGTTATAAAATCGAAATTGTTAAAATAGAAACAAAAATTTTGTATGTTTAAATAATTTTCAAACCAAAGACAATAAAAGTCGAGATCAGCCACCGAGTGCGGAAATAATATGATAAAATTTAGATTCGAGTAAAATTTGGAAACTTTACAGCTTACACGCCAACAGTTCGTGAGAATGACGTCGTATTAAATGTTACCATAATATTTTCGCATCAAAGCTTCTGAAGAAGACTATGTTTACGATAGTTGGGACGAACGCTAAAGATATTTTAATATTTATATTACTAACTAGCCATACCCGCGGCTTTACTCGCGTTCAAACTACAAAAAAAACTCTGCCACACCGACAGCAGTGTCACCTACCGGGTCCAATTGTGTTTTTAAAACATCCAGGAGCCCATTGAAATATACACACAAAATTTCATCCAAATCAATCCAGCCCTTTAAGAGGAATAAGGTCAGTATAATAATAATTGTTAATCAATGGAACAACATAAAATATCAAATGAATTAGGTAATTTATTTCGAAGTTCGAACATAATTTTTATATACGTCAAACACTTAAGAACAGACATTGTGTCACAAACTATGGGAACTTTGTGGGATACAACTACCAGTTCATATAAGCGACTCTCACTTCACAAAAAACTAAATGACATCTGCCCTTTAAAGACAATTATGTACTTATAATGGTAGCTCCTCAAATATTTAAAGTGCGTATTTTACTTATATGAAAAAAAAACTAGGTCAAAATATAACAAACCGTTGACGCGATCTTGTAGAAACTTGAGATGGCGGATGGCCATTTCTATTATCTCGGTCTTTTCGACCCGGCCACGACCTTTTTTAAGGTACTCGGTCGGTATGAGCCGCGAGAGATCGGCAAGACAGTTGTTCATTCGGTCACGGCGACGCTTCTCGATTATTCGATGAGACATCGGATCTTGCTGTAGAAAGGAAACTGTTAGATAAATATATTCTTTAAATTAAAAACTGATTTTTCAATAGCCGAATAAAAGTTACTTATGGATAAAATACATACAACACAAACAAATTAGAAATGACAGCTGTATGAATAAAATACTTCAGTCCAGTTACACGTTTGTATTGGGTCATGTTATAATTTATTTTATGGGTAACTTTTACTGAATTATTGAAAAATCTGCTCTACGTCGTATTTTAAAACTTTCGCTTACTTTCTCTATAAGTATAAAAAATATAATATTAAATGTGATCATTTTTTTTTAATTAGCAATTATATTATATATTCTTTATGTACTCAAATTTAAAAAAAAATAACACTGAGATTTTGTCTATTCTTGTACTTAGTTCCACTACAAGACTATAAAGACCAAAGACAATTACTACAGAAATTCGCGATCATTTCCAGAAAAACTATATTCTTATAACAATATGAACTATTAAAAAAAATCAAAGACAATAAAAAAGGCAATAAATAAATCGGGCATATTCAGTATGACTTGCCCTCGAGACCTTCCCCTTCTTGTATGTGCCGGAAGCATATTCCGCCTCGTCCTCGGACGGGGCCGCGAAGTTGAGCTCCCCCGCGCGACCGAAGCCGTCGTTAGAGTTGTAACTGAAAAGTTAAATTAACATTGTTATTTTCTTATATTTAAGCAAATATTTGACATCCATATCCACACTTAATATTATAAATGTAAAAGTGTGTTTGTTTGTTTGTCCATCTTTCACGTCGAAACAGAGTGACGGATTGGCGTGATTTTTTTGTGTGAAGATAGTTGGAGGGTTGGAGAGTAACATAGGCTACTTTTTACCGCGGGAGATTATCTAATTCATACATGAAAACACGTTATAAACTTAGATTATTAATATAATAATGTAAGGTTATAAATTATATATAATACAATCCAAAAAATATATTTACGATCAGAATCACTTGAAACTTGATATTAATGCTCTTCAATAAAATTAAATAAACACGTACTTTAGCGTTTTTTTGAAATTTATCCTTTAAAGGGGTAACATAGGAGATGAAACTTTACATTTTTAAGGATTTTTTGTAGTTTTAGCGCGAGCGAAGCCGCGGGTTCTGCTAAATTCAAATAAAACTATCTTTTCGTATTTTTTCGCGGATTTAGGTATTTTGATTTTTGGCTTCCGACGTTTCGAATGCTTTACTTACAGCAATTATGGATCACGAAAGAAACTAAGTTTTTAGATAGTTTTATTTAAAATAACATTATTACCTATTTGTTTATTAGACTTATGACTTATCCTTACTTATCCTACTTACTAGTTATTTTTATAAACTAAATATTTGTTACTCTAGGTCTTAATCTTTCTGTGAACTTCTTAAATATAGATATAGGTATCTCACAAAAGATATTCAGATATAAAGTCGTTGGCAGCCGATACAAATCAAAGCACACCAACTTCAAAAATATTTGATTGGGTAGGTATCTATAGAAAATGAAAAAGTTCTACCAATCAGATATTTTTTAGTTTTTATAATAATTGCAAAGTGTTTTTATTCTTTGCATTGTCTTTGATGGAAAAATAACACAATTTGTAAAAAAATACAAAACAATGCCATATAAAAAATTCCACGATCCGGAATACATCGTTTGCTCATAAATTTCATATGGGATATTATGACTTAATTTACCTTGAGGGCCACGTGATCGGGATACTCGTTTTAAAATGATTTTTTGTAAACATGTGATCGATTTCAATACACGTTTAAATTGTTTATACAGATACAGTTCAGTTAAAAATATCTAGAGTGTATTTTTTAACGAAATTGTACAGCTTTATGGTCGCTCCACACTGAAGTGCCGGTCACAGTCCGTTCTCGCAGAAACAAAACCGGGAATCGAATCTTCTAATATAAAGCATACATCGGGCACACGCCCCACTGTGCTACTTGTGTCAGTAACATTAACATAAGTATACCTACATGTATGTAGTTTAAAAAACATTAGCCTAGAATCTGATAACAGTTCATATTTTTTTTGAAGTTATACTTCTTTCTACATTCTTTTGGCACGTTTGAAAAAAAAATGAGATTAAAATTATAACAATGCGCGCGCACATCGGCAGTCAAAAAACGACATGATGAAGTTAGCTGCATTCATTTTACAACAGAGAGTTGTGACATACGGGATGAAATCTTTAGCTATTTTTGTTCTGTTACGCCAAAGAAGTTTAACTTCTTACGTGCGTATAAGTACAGACACACGTTTTTCCTTTTACGTAGCAAAGTCCACGTGAAAATTAACAGATTAGATCGCGACCAGTACAATGTACTATTTATGATTGGCTTCGCACGTGACTTCATACATGTATATTTTATATTATTAATTGACTCACCTATATAAATTCCAAAAGTGAAGGTGATTTTAAAATGTCTTATCAATTTTATAAATGATCCATTACCCGATAACCATATTATTCTGATTCATTTCTGCATTTAATTTAACCGACATTTTACATAATTAAACTATTCGATTGTGTATTTTTTAATTGATAACTGAGCTCCTATAAATAGTTTTTATAATCTATTCTATAATCTATACATATTATAATAAAATTATAACTGAGTCGAAATCGACTGTACATGAAATATTTTTTGGAAAGTCCTATTTAAATAGTCATTATACGATACAGAGTCCGAATCTATAGTTTTTAGAATTTTTGTCCGTTTGTCAGTCTGGGGACGGAAAGTCATTGGACAGGTTTTGATAAAATTTGTTATGATGATAGTTATTTATTCGAGTCAATATATTTAAAGATACTTTTTACTGCGAGAAAATATCTCATTTCTGAGAAATCTTTACTAGACGTTAAAACATAACAAGGGACGAAACCGAGCGGAGCGAGCGTGAGTCGCTACTATTTGCATAGTAACGTTTAAATAATCGCTTAAATATGTATCAAATACCTGTAATTTTACACGGAATGTCAAACAATGTGATGAAGCACTTGTAGCAGTCAAATAAACACTAATGAAAAAATGAAAATATCAAAGGTTCAAATATCAAATATGTTAGCAGGCGAAATACAGACCACGTGGACTCACTATCGTGTTTCAAATTCGAGGAACTTAATTTTAGCTGAATTAAATTTTATTTATGCACGCAGTGGTCAGTGGGGTCATAGTCTACATTTTAATTAATAATTAAGTATCTATCCATACTTTATATTATAAATGTGAAAGTGTGTTTGTTTGTCCTTCTTTCACGTCGAAATAGATTGACGGATTGGCGTGATTATTTGTGTGGAGATAGTTGGAGGTCTGGAGAGTGACATAGGCTACTTTTTCCGTGGGAAGTTATCTCATTTCCACGGGAAAACATGTAATAATACAACCCAAAAAATTATTTATGATCAGAATTACTAGAAACTTGGTAATTATGCTCTTCAATAAAATATAATAAATACATGTTTTAGCATTTTTCGAAATTCATCCCATAAGGGGATAAAATAGGGGATGACTTTTAGAGCGAAGCCGCGGGTTCTGCTAGTATTCTATACATATAATAAAATTCTAACTGAGTCAAATCTGTACATCAAATATTTTTTGGAAAATCTTATTGAAATAGACATTATTATCGATAGTTTTACTTCGAGTTTATGTCTATAGTTTTTAGAATTTTTGTCTGTCTGTCTGTCTGTCTGTCTGTTACCGCATCACAGAAAAACTACTGGACGGATTTTGATGAAATTTGGTATGGTCATAGCTTATTATCCGGGTCAACATATAGGATGCTTTTTACAACGGAAAAATATCTCATTTCTGAGAAAATATACAAAAAATGTAATGTAAGAGTATACTAATATGTAAAACCTAAGAATTTGGTTTTTGGTCATCTGAACGCCAGCGGAGCCGTGAGCAATGCTAGTTGTGAAATAAAACCCAAAATAAGTATTATACACGTGTTAACTGTTAATAGAACAAAATTTATTTCAAGTTCATTATATTGTTGTGTCAGGAGATACAATTATTGTATTCAATAAGTTTCGACTTTTCGTTTCAATGTAATTTCCTTCAACTCCAATTGACCATGACATTTCATTGGTAAACGTTGCATTTACATTGACTTTCAACCAAAGAAACTGCATTAACGTGAGAACTATGTTATCAATTAATGTTGTATATTTGTTTGTTTGTTTATTATTTTGTTAATAGTACTAGCGCCTCACACTCGCTCCGCTTCGGTTCGTCCCTACTTACGTTTTAACGTTTAGTATAGATTTCTCAGAAATGAGATATTTACCCACAGTAAAAAGTATCCTATATGTTGACCCGGATAACCAACTATCTTCATACCAAATTTCATTAAAATCAGACAGACAGACAAACAGACAAAAATTCTAAAAACTATAGATTCGGCCTCTGTATCGATAATAATGTCTATTTCAAAATCAAAATAAGATTTTACAAAAAATATTTAATGTACAGATTCGACTTAGTTACAATTATTTTATTATATGTATAGATGTATGGATTAGTAGTTTGCATGCGTCGAGCGGACTAGAGGCTGAAACAACTATGTATTTGCAAATCGATGCACGAGTGTGAGCTTTATGCGACATATGTAAACATAGGAAAGCTTCTAAAGAAGCCAAAACCCTCAAACAATTCATTTAATGGTTTAACCTTCATAAATCAAATATATAGTTTTATTTTATATTGAGTTATTCTACTATAAAATCAATTTACGAAGCTTTCTTTACTTATTTTCTATTGTATTCAGCCCTTTTCAACGTCCCACTGCTGAGCACGGGCCTCCCTTTACTACGAGGGGGTTAGTCCACCAAGCTGGCCAAGTGTAGGTTGGCGGTGACAGTGAGCGCGTTATCACTGGGCTACCACTGTCTATTACATATTATTATTACTTAACTTATTTGCTTTACTTCGAACCTTAAACTTGATAGAGCGATACGATAAAAAACATGTATTTTTCTAGGAAGCTCATTCTTTGTACATTAAAGTGGAATAATAAAAAATATTAGCCTAATTGTAACACGCTTGCATGGAAAAACCGAGGTGAAGCGGGTTCAAATCCCGGGTATTTTGATAATCCCGGAACCTTTGATATTTTCATGTGCGAATAATTTCCAACACGATTACCACTTATCTTATGGTAAAGGAAAATATTCTGAGGAAACCTGCAAGCAAGCCTGAGAGAACCTAGCAAGTTTTCGAAAGACTATGAAATCCAAACAGCCCTTTTAAATAATTATTATAATAAGATAATTATTTATCTTTTCAAATATATAACTATATTTTAATCATACAGCGACATCCAGATATACAAATACTTATTTTATTAAAGTCTATAATTGCATTAGCAAGCAAAATCAACCAAAATATATAATATTAAAAATGTTCAATATTAGCAATAAATTGCAACATGTAGAACATTATCCTCTTTTAAATGTAACAATTTAAAAGAGATGTAAAGTCGAAAACGTGTCAGTGATAATGTGACCTTAAAGTTCCGACAGATGTACCTACTGCTCGCAGCTCAGGCTCGTCTCGTGGACGTCCACGTGACAGTTGCACAATTCACAAAACTTTCCACGTTCCACGACAAAATTTATATTACTGGT